GAGGTTTTAGGTAACTGCTTACCATCATCGATAGATTCACTCGGTCGATCGAAGCTGTACCTTTGGAAGACCAAACTGCAGAGTCCGTCGCAAATGCGCTCCTCGCGACTTGGATTTCGAGATTTGGGACGTGCTACCTTTGATTTTTCTTGGCATTCGATCCGCCATTAAGGAGGATTTGCATTGTTCTTCTGCTGAACTTGGGTACGGTTCACCAATCTGTTTCCCTGGAAAATTTTTCAGTTATGTCCCCACTGTTACGCATTCAGATTTTATACAAAAATTGCAAAGTCACATCCAAAATTTAAAACCAACGTCAACAACCAGCCATGGAAAAAAAAAAACAATTTTCGTGCACAAGGACTTAGCAAATTGTTCACACGTATTCATCTATAATAACATAATTTCATCTTCTCTTCAACCACCCTATCTCGGACCATATTTAGTTAAAAAACGTTTTGAGAAATTTTTCGATGTAGAAGTTTCAGGTAAAATTAAAAGGATATCGATAGATAGACTGAAACCATGTTTCAGCCTCAAGAATCAAACAACAAATCTCCCGACACATGAAGCTGATAACTCCAAAATCTCATCATCCTAGAAACACAAAAGCTGGACGAAGGGTGAGATTTCTGCATACCTGAAAGATTACGAGGTATAACGCTATCACTGGGAACGGGGTGTGTGGCGACATCATTTGCGTTAATTAAGCGCCATCTGTGAAACTTTTCGCATGCAATTTTCTTTTCACCAGAATGGCAACATGAAGCAACAGAGAAGAAAAAGAACGATGACTGATTTTTTTTGTCTAATGTAATAAATATCTAAATTATTCTAAATAATTTAAAATATGTAAATAAATATTAATCTTATTGGAGTAAGAGCAATGTTTAATATTTCCTATGTTCAAGACATCCACAACCACCACCATTCTTGAACAAAGCTCAGATGGTATAAATTTACGAGTGTTAGAGAAAAAAAATCAAGATTTTGGAGCTTTAGTTTTTGAATTTAACCTTTTCGCGACGGCTCACCTTTGTTTAAGACTCTCGTGCGGAACGGAAGGGAATCGAAGGCAGTCACCGTACAGGACAGAGGTTTTGCATCGCTAAGCCTAATTTTATAAAAAAAATCAGAAAAATAAAGTTTCGCTTCTAGCATCGTAATTTTGGTATCATTTCAGATTATTACTTGAGCTCATATATGTTAAAATTAGCACTTAATAACGTTTTTTTCTTTATTTTACATGAAAATATACTTAAAAAATTGCTTATCTTGTAAAATAATTTTCGGAAGCACTATTCAAATTATGCCAAAGTTTCAATTGATAAAATCCATCAATAAAGTTTAAAATTAATAAAACAACACAATAAAGACTATTTACAGTAAGAAGTAACAAAATTTAAAATGAAGACTGAGTGTTGTAAATCTCCAAGCACGGAGAAGTATCACTTCTAACTCTTAGAAAAAGTATCACTTTATAACTCTTTAGAAAATGAATCATCACCCTCATGTGCGTAAATAAATGGTTCATTGACCATACGAGGGTATTCTTTCTTCTAAAAAATGGCGCCTTCTCGCTATAATAGACTGGAGGTGAGGCTTTCCGAAATAAAAAGAGAAGAAACGGAAATATATCTGAAGGCAATGCAAAACGTAAGAATACTCCACATACTAACCCTAAAATACCGTGCATAGTAAAGGAAAAAATAGAATAAAAAAAAGGAATTGGATATAAATCAGACATGCGAATGTTTTCATTAGCAAGCAGCGATTTAAAGAGCTCACCTCTGTTTACGCTTTCCCACCCCCCTCGCAAAAAGCTGATGAGTAAAATACCAAATTCAAGCAAAATATATTTAACTCAAGATCAGGAACATAAAACTGTTTCATTTCAAAAGTAATGGGCATAGGATGCCATCTAGTGGCCTTCAGAAAAACGCTCCAGCTTAAAATGCGTATACGCATCACCCGTCCTCTAAATGCGACCTCTAGCGATGCGTTGATGGGACGCCCGTCCTGAAAGGGTTAATAATTAAAAATACTTTGCTTACTTCTCTTGCGTACCACCAGTGGTACGTGTACCACCGGTTGAGAATCCCTGCTCTAGGCTTTTCTTTTTTTATAGCTTCAGAGACTTTTTGGCATGGATTTCACAAGATTTTATAGATTTGCTTTTTCTTCCCTTCATTGTGTGGTGAATTTTTCTCCGAATTCATTTTCGCTGGAAATCTTAAATTTATTAATTCTATCATGCAAGCTGTTCTAAATATGCTTTATAGGGTTAAGATCTCCGCACAGGTATTTGGATTACACGTGGACAGTTATATAAATTCCACAGGTAATGGATTGACTGCACACATAACCGATGATAGCTTGATAAAATTTGTTTTCCCAAAAGAAACACTTTACACTTTACATATAGTTTTCAGTATCACAGAGTGCAATCTGTAGTTACACTTCAAGCTATTAAGAATGTTGAACACAACGGAATGCAAAGCGCATCTAAAAAGCGAAGCTCTCACAGATATCTCAATATTCCGAATCAGCTCTGGTGTTTTGGTGTATTTAATTATGGCAAAGTACACTAGGGCTATCTGCCCTAAGGGAAGGGATGCCTTCGTGGAGGACTGTCTAAGGGAAAATGGCTCGTATACACGTTACACATGGGGAAAACCACGAAAACACCCCATGCAGCCAGCCCGTTCGCGGGATTCGAACCTCGGACCGAACTACCAGTGTTCAGCGACTTTACCACTCGGCCGCTGGTGGGCCCGAATCAGCTCTGAGTTAACGACTGAGAATTGATGCTCTCTTCGGGCTTATATAGTTTTCTCCCGGCCACTAAGAAATCTTTAGTATCTTCGATTTCTCGAAATTATTGGAAGGCATATACAGTTAACGTTATATATAAGGGCCGGATACTATCACAGTTACATATAGGAATACATTACATCTATTCAATTACAGTTATACAAAGACGAAAATGTGGCAAAGATCATAGCCTCCTTGGCGATATCTCGTCAATTTAGCAAGATAGCCTTTTACTCCAGTATTAAACAGACATCTATTTGATATCTATTATTTATTGTGTCTATATTTACCCTGTAATCTACTTTTCCGGCCCAGCTTCGTCTCTTTCAAGCATTTCCTGTTACACTGCACAAAAAAATATTATAATTTCACTAAAATTATTTACATATACAAAATTCGTAACAGTATGTTAGTAACGAAGATTTTAACCCACTTCATATGGACTTTGAATCTTTTCTCGAAGTTATCATAATCATCATAAACCATGCATTGCTATATAGACTTTAAGGGGAAAATCATATTAACTTGATAAGAAGCATGTCTAAGAAAATATCGGTATCGTCATAAAGTGCACCTACCTTGTTTTAATTTAAATTACTAGAAGAATAAGAATAATTTTTAACACAAATTCCGAAGCAACCAGCAACTTACTTTACCTCCTCAAATTACAAACACTCTTTTATTACAGCTTCAGGTGAATCAAACTTCATGCAAGCAGGCACCATTGCTTGTTAGTAAGGCTCCTCTAAATAGCCTTACTTGTTATAGTGTGTCTATAGGAGCCTTACTTGTTAGCCTCATCCTTTGTGGAATCTCATCTTTACAGAATAACGTAGTGAGAGTGACAAAACCTTTTGTATCAATATTTCTTACGAAGGAAATATTATATTGACCAGTGTTCCTGGATAGTTTTTTATGTAATTTCTTCATTTTTCCTTGGAAAAAAAAAAAAAAAAAAAATACTGGTATTTGCTGCTAGCGCCTTTAGGTGGGGATTACCTGCCTATGCTTTTGCGGCAAAAACATGGCTTGTTTTCTATCTGACTTGCTCATGTTGATCTCTTTCTTTCTCCAATGAAGGCGCAGCTACCTTATAATGGGCGGGGGTCTTCTACCACGTTCGTAAATCTCGATATTGTAACAGCCCTTCAGTTGCTCATTCATTAATGTTATTCCCTTCCTTCATTCAACGTACAACTAACTAGCTGATATCATTATAATAATGTTTTTTTTTTTTTAAGACTGATTTACAGGTTCTTGTGTGCTGGAATACAAAGCACTGAAACAACTTCAACGATTCAGAAGCCAGGCATGATAATTTATCCTGTCTTCTTCAGAAGATGACCGGTGATCCCAAAATGAAGAGCAGTCTGTAACACTCCTATTTACTCGTAAAGTTTTCTTTTATATTAGCATGCCTTGCCTTCCCAGTTGTGTTGATAATTATGCTTAATTTCTTTACTATAGTACCACTATCCATGGCGACGACTTTTTTTTAAGTGTATTTATATATATGTATTTATACTATGCACCTTTTATATCATTAGGCTAGCTTCTTAAATTGTGCCTTATATGTTACAAAATTTAATCTTCTAAATGTGCTTTTGTATAAAATTGTGCTCGGGTATCTATGCGCTTAAAATTTAAGTTAATTACGTTTCATTTCTAATCAGAGGTTTTTTCGGTTTTAGACACGTACATTCTTTATTATCCACGAAGGCGCTGCATACGCAAACGATGGACGCAGAATCTTAGCAGAAGTTAGCTTCTGAATTAGACTTACTTTACTTCCTCAAATGCAACTCTGGACTCCCAATTTTTATTTTCCCCTCATTATCACATCTATTCAGCTTTTACTAAACACACTCACTACACGCACCTGGGAGACACTATTTATTGTAAATGAATACAGCCTTCTCCCCTTTTGAACTACACTCATGGACTTAATAGTATTTTTAGGAAATTTTCTATTCCTTTTCTTTCTATAGGCCTCCCCCCCCTATATTACATTTGGGCCATTTATTTTAATTTTATTTTGTCCCATCTTTTCTTCCTGGCCTTTCTAACTCGTACAAAAGTATAAAATTCCTTTTTTCTCTGAAATACGAAATTGCCCGCTTTTCATATGCTACCTTCTTTTCGCACCTAAGTTTGGTTTTTCCCCCATCGGGCAGAAAGACTTCATATGCAGCCAGAGTGGAATTACGCAAGGGAAGGTTGACTGAAATATTTTTAGCCAAGTTTTGAGTTTTTCCGAATGTGTGGAATTTTCTAGGTTACTGTAAATAAAACCTTAGAATCTTGCCCACGTACACTTTGCTGCGTTATCTGCTGTAAAAGATGTCATTAAATGAGTTTCCTGATGAGGTGAACTAAAATTATAAATATTGTTTTTAGAACATTTTGCCCTAACTCAGATAACGTAGCGTAAATTAAATGAGCTTATAGCTATCTCTATATATACACTAAACCTAAAAGACAGCATTAAAGGTTTTTATATATCAATGTAAAACACATCTTTAATTCTGACTTTTAAGTGTAGTGATGAATGAAATACGTGGTATTAAAAGCTAATTAGTTTCTTAGAACTTGTTATTAAAATTTAAAATTCCCAAAATCTTAAGTTACTGCGCGATCTTATATGATACATCTATTATATCATTGCAAAATTTCTGAACTAATTTATAAACATTTTGTGCATGTGTATATTTGCTCAACATGCGTTCGAGGTTTTATTACAGCCTTACCCTCTAAGCAACACTTAAATTTCAGTTGTGTTATTGCTGTATTGTGGACATGACTCTTTTCTGTGCTAGGGATAATTGAAAGCACTGAAGTATTTGATTTAGTATTTAGAAAAACCATTCATATTTTTTCAAAGTTCATTAATTTCACATATTTTAAATAAATTACAGCTAATTACATCCTGCTTTTTATGTATTACAAATTTATTCCAAAATTAATTTAGACTAACGCCAAAACCAATTGAAGTAATTATAAACTGAATTTTTGCCTCCAAAATATTGTATCTTTTTCTATACTGAATTATATTAAAAGAATGACTAAAGTCTTGCTACATTACTAGTCTATTCGGGTTTGATTTCTGACCTGATTTCGTATTATCAACATGCTGTGTCATCTATATAATTTTTAGAACTCTGAATTAGGTAAAATATAATTACAGAAGTTAATATCAAACTAAAAGGCTTTAGTACTTTTATATTAATGAGGTGCCAAACATAAGCATTGGCATGAAGTCTAACTAGATAGTAAATAACTCTAAATAATCAGAATTGCATAAATTCAGCATCGTGTACAGTCTTGCAGCACTGAGTAATTAATTCTTGCAACAGCTATTTGTTATATGATATGTAAACAGGTTATCCCATTTAGCTATTGGCACCCCATTAACAGAAAAGAACCAAGATTTTTCAGTGCAACAAACAGATTATCATCTTGCTGATATGTTTAGTAAACATCTTATCATAACAAATTTGATGTTCATTATCAATGTGGAACAAAGCATTTAAAATATGCTTACTTTAAAATCCTCTTATGTGACTGCTAGCAATGGAGAGGAGGTAACAGCTTCAAATATCATATCTTAATGTGCTCTTCATCAAAATTTCGAGGGCCCACCAGTGACCGAGCGGTAAAGTCGCTGAACACTGGTAGTTCGGTCCGAGGTTCGAATCCCGCGAACAGGCTAGTTGCATGAGCGTTTTCATGGTTTTCCCCATGTGTAATGTATATACGAGCCAGTTTCCCTCAGAAAGTCCTCCACAAAGGCATCCCTTCCCTTAGGCAGATAGCCCTCGAGGCTTTGCCATAATCACACACATCAGAATTTTGATAGTGGTAAATCAAGAGTACATGTCTGCGAATAGCATATCTTTAATCCATGATTTTTAATAGGCATATCCAAATAATTGGAGATAGAGGAATAAATCTCTCTTAAAAAAGGGTTTACCAGTAGCTAAAAATCACAAAATATACTAGTTATACCAGCTATAAGGTTCAGTCATTACTAAAGGGAATTATAGAAATAATTAATTTCTGAAACGTATATGTATGTTTGTTTATTTTTCAAATTAAAAATTTTTGATTAAAATATATTTACTAATGAGAAGTTTTTTTTTTAGGTCCTTGAACATATATTTTCTTTCCTTAATGTTTATGACAGACTTACAGCTAGTCTTGTTAGTAAACGATGGCTTCACTTAACAGATAGAAGACATCTTCTTGAGGATATATATGTTGTATTTCAAGACAATGCTAAAGATGGAGATGACGTTTTCAATTCCATGAGTCGCAAATTTTTATGCTTTAAATTTATCAGACATGAAATTGATGCACAATATATAGAGTTTTTAAAAAAGTATATTACACAGATTCATTCTTTATTATTTTTTAGTTGTGTTCTAGATAGGAAAGCATTAGAATCTTCTGGTAAGTTAGATAGTTTTTCAAATTTAAAATGTCTCAAAATTATAGGATGTGATATGTTTGACCTCTTTTCTTTTTCATTTCCAAACCTTAGAGAACTGTATGTTGACTCAGGTGCTAATCTAACAGATAAAATAATACAAGATTTGGGAAACACTATGCCAAATCTGAAAGTTTTATCATTGGCTTGCCAGATTACACATCAGCCACCAATACTCAAGCGATTTTATCCCAGTGGAACTACAGTTGAAAAAAATCCTTCTGAAATGATTCTTTCTTTTTCAGCAGTTCAGTTATTTATATCAAAACGAGCTGAAACATTAACAGCTCTGGATCTGAAAAAAACTATTTTACTGTCTTCCTCAGCATTTATACACTTGTCCAAAATAGATAACTTAAAGCTTCAAGATGTAACATTTGCTTGTGCGCTGAAATGCATTGATAGTTTAGCAAAATTCTGTGAAAATCAACCTTACTTAAAATCTATTAATTTAGATTGTGTATATACATTAAGGGATGAGAATTTAAAATCAGTGTGCTTGCTGCTCCCAAATCTTAGGAAAATTAGTATAAAGCATTGTAAGTACATTAACGATTCTTTAAAATATATCTTTCAGTTAAAAAGGTTGCAAAGGTTGGATATTTCAGGTTGTTGTATCACCCAATCTACTTTTACTGAAGCTATTCGGGAATCCCAGTTAACTAATTTAAGAGCTCTTAGTGCAAGTAACTGCCAGATAACAGATATCATAGCAATTGAGTTAGTGCAAAAAACTCCATACCTTGAATATCTTAATTTAAGTGGCTGTGATATAGGAAATGAAACTCTGAAAACAGTATCTAATTTTTTAATCCATCTTAAGTATTTAAATTTGAAAAATTGTATGATATCTGATGAAGGATTATTAGGAAAAATTCAGCAAAGCTCTACGACTTATAACAACAGAGATGAAAATATGAGCAAACTGTTGTCAAATATTAAAGGCCTTGAAGAGCTGAATTTGAGTGGATGTTATAAAATAACTGATGCAAGTGTTACTCAAGCAATACAATTCCAGTATTTACAGGTATTAAATTTGGAAGGATGTGAAAAGATATCTGATAGTGCAATGGTTCCTATACTGCAAAAAAATCCATGCTTAAGAGAAGTGATTCGTACTAATTGTATTTTGGTAAGTATACTTATATAAAATTTGGTGCTATCTAAAAGCTTTAAATAAAGTTGGATTTCAATGAGAAATAAGGATTATAACAATTAAGAATGTTGCCCTGATTGTGATGCTGATGGCCAAATGTAGGTTGGTGGTAGGGAAAGAGGTGTAGGAGACCCACCAAATTCACCTTCTGGGATTTTCTCCATCAATATCAACACTGAGCTGGGCAAACTTTAGCTGTCACTTAAAAGATGCCAAAAACCTTGGCAAGTGACAGGTATATCCTTCTGCCTCTTAGCTATGATGAAATCAAGGATCTGATTTAGAAAATACACAAAGAGGATGATTAGTCCCAATAACACATTAAAAATTCTGGTGAAATAAATTTTATATTTCCATGAAACCAAACCTAAGTAATTTCTTGAATCTTAAAAGAATAAGTGGAATTAAAAAGATAAGGGGAAAAGTTTTATTTAATAATAAAAAGTTAAAATTTGAAATCTACATTTAATTTAATAAATTTATTAATGCAGTGTTCAAAAATACAACTATATCTAGAAGATACAAATGAGATTTAGTAAATAAAGTATTTAATTAAAACTCTTGAAATTTTCTCAACAGAATTAGCATTGTTGATGGCATAGAGTTGTAAATCCATATTGAAGAGGAAGCATGGTAGCCAAGTAAGATTGCATATTCAACTTTAATTTAGGCCACAATTTGCTTGGCACTCTGATCATGCCTATTCAAAAACATTTACATTTTGGATACTGTTGTGATAGGAAGAGAGTAAACATCTTAATAGGAAGGAAGGTAGAAGCTAAAGTGTGCAATTAAAAAATCCAATATGGATAATTGCACACTTTAGCTTGAGAAGGTTTTGATTTAGGTTAAGAGAAACATTTCAGGATTTTAACCAAGAGAAGGTTTTGGTTTAGGTTGCTTATTAAGAGAAACATTTCAGGTCTTGAAAGTTTGAGTTCAGATTCCGAATTAGCTACATCATCAGCATTACGCAAGTCATGTGACACAGATTAATCTAAATTGATGCAGTCTAGAAAAGTTATTACTATTTTTAGAATACAGAGATAAAATACCCAAATTAAAATTGAGGAATTAAGAGGCTACTGCTAAACTAAATTGTAAAGCTGATTTACATATTTTTTATCTTACATATATGCTTACATCATAATATATATATAATGATGCAAAATAAAATAAAAAAAATATGTTTAAATTTTATCACGCATTCAGATCATAATAAGTCACACACACACCAAAAAAAAAAAAAAAAAAAAAAAAAAAAAACGCATAGGCAGATTTCAAGAAAAAGGTGACAAAATATGCCCCAAACCAAAAATGAAATTTTCTTTTTGGGTTGCTTTGTCACAATAAAAGAAATAAGTAAAATGGCCCATTTCTGAACAGACGATGATGCAAATTAAAGTTTAAAATAATCTTAGGAAAAAAATCATGATCTTAGAAAAAAAATCTCTTAGCTTTATCAGTCCAAATCCTACATGCTAAAGTAAACATAAAAATTAAGCAACAAATTTAAGGTATTTAAAAAGTTTGCAAAAAAATTGATTTTGTTTTTGATGCTATAATTTTCTGTTTTACACTGTTACTTTTAAAAATCATTCATTTTTACCTCTGCAATAAAAGTTTTTCTAATTATTTTTATTGAGTTTTATGTTTTAATTCTTAGTGTATCTCAACACATTTTATGCTTTGCTGCTGTATAGGAGTTTATAAATATATTTTATCATTTCAAAACTTGTGTTGCTTTTGTATTACATATTTTAAGAACATACTCCTATATTTGTTACTTATATAGTAATTTATAATTTCTAGATAAAATCCTAGTATATGGTGTGGCCTTGCAGCGGTTTGGAAAATTGTTGGCAACACCAAAATGGCCTGTTACTGCTCATATTTTTAACCTGGCTTATGTTTTCAAAATTTGTCTTTAGTTTTGTTTTTCCAATTTTGAATGGAAAAATTTGTATATGAGTTAGTTTTTTCAAGTACTGGATTATTATTTTTGCATGTTCTGTTTTTGAACTCAACCTACTCAGTTTTTAAATTCCAAAACTTAGCATAGCTGTGAGTTTTGAATAAGACATATTTGTATGATAAAGCTTCATATCAATAAACAATTAAATATCAATTTTATTGATACATTTTTAATAATCGCTGGGATTTTGATTATGCCGATCACCCTACACGTTTGGCTGTCTACCCCCTTTTAATATTTCATAATCTTCGAGGGGATCGATACTGATCCTGTTGAAAAACCCTAATCTGGACTAATTTAAAATTTTTTTTGATAGCTTATAAATAGTGACTAACTTTCTGTGGGATTTATAGTGTAAACATCCTGAATAATATATTAAATTGTGCTAACCTCCCAAATAAATGGATTTTAGTTCTAAATACAGTACAAAGTCTTTAATCCGGACTTCAGAGATTCCGGATTAGGGGTTTTTCTGGATTATAGATCATCAATTTAAATCTGGTCCTATATTAAATTATGAATTTGAAATTGGTTAACACAATATCATTAAAGAAACACTATTCGGTTTAAAATTCAGATTCCTATCATATTCTCAAGAGTGTGTGTTTGCTGCTTTATAAAAATCCAAATGACATAAAGTTATGACGTAAAGTGCAGATTATTACAGTGATAAGATGGCTTGCAGAAATTATACAATTAAAAAAGTGAAACAGTAATATGAAATAAAGAGCAATTATGATCTAAAGGGTATCAAAATTTACAAAAAAAAAAAAAAAGCTTAATATTTATTTGCTTACTTTATTAAACATTTCTTTCAATGCGCGCATGCGTAAAGCATACATTACGTATAGTCGAAATTAGAAAACTGGAACGAGAAAACTATTTGATGTGTATTTGTGATATTTATAATGACGAGGAATTTGATTTAAATTATATCAAAGACGGAGTACACGATGAAATACTACATTTAGTAAGGAATTATAAGCTGAATAAAATAAAAAAAAATCTGCCTTGAAGATGAGGATAGCGCTGACAGATCAACTTCCAATTTATTGTGCGCCGTGACATGCCCCTTCCCCCCACAGAGAAGCGTGAAATTGATGAACAGATTTTGGAATGGTTAGAGAAACAAATCACCTCTCTGTCACTTTCTTCATGCCTTTATCCATTTTTTGTAGCAATTCCACTTTTTGTTTAATGGACATCGAAACATGCTTTCACTTTGTAGATCCTTTGGCAGCTCCAGAATTTGAAACTCTTTTTGACATAAAGTTCAAGCTTACTTTTTATAAAATTGCTCTAACAGTCTGCAAAAAATAATAAGCCGGATCCAATTAGAAGATTAACCCTCCGAGCGTTACAGGTTTAGCCCTGAAATTTCAAAGTTCCTCAAAATGTCATGAATAAGTGGTATTTTCTTGATTTTAATTAAAAAATGACCCTCTTATTTTGTACCTTGATTCCTTTTCTTCCAATATACATCCAAACCGAAATCAGATACATTAAAAACTAGCAGAAATTTTCATGTATAATGAATATAGAAGGCAGCCTTCTATGTGGAATTTTCTGGCCGTAACGCTGAGAGGGTTAAGGAACAACGCAATCTGCAACATTAATTGAAATAGATAATTTTATCCTAGCTTATACTGTCTGTTATACATTAAATGCAGATACGTAAACGTATTATGCGCAAGCATAAACGAGCTTTGAGGTCCGGATTATAGATCATTCCGAATTATGGACATCCAGATTAAAGACTTTATACTGTATTTAGTTGCTGTCAGGTAAACTCATTTTGCTAACTATATTCTTGCAAATGGCAGGAAGCATGTTAATAATAAAAATTTATTTATAATTACAACATGAAAAGGCCTGCAAATCTTGGTATGAAGTTTAAATGTGATGAATCAGATATTTAAAAGAAGTCCCACAAAATTTTGTTTTCAAGTGTAATTTTATTGCTTGATTTCCTCTTCCCATAACCTCTTGTACTATTGGGGGGAAAAATATTTAGCAATTTGCTAAATATTTAGTTTCTAGATTTTCAACTCTATTAGATAATAACGTTTACACCATAAAAAATCCAATAGAGTTTGTAAAAAAAAGTTAAAAGCATTTCTCCTAGAAATTTACTTATGGTTTCTTTTGATGTGAAATCATAATTCATATCAGAAGTGGAGGTTGCGTAAAGATGGAGTGCAGTTCCAGTGGAGGTAGCATTAAGATGTCTAGAAACCAAACTTCGTGAATTTCATTTCTCTTGCATCGAAATTGATGAGCTAATTTCCCTCATTCAACTCTTTTTGAAGCAAACGCATTTTGTTTTCCACAATAAGTATTACAAGCAAACTGAGGGATTATTCATGGGAAGCCCTCTCACATCAGAAGTGGAGGTTGCATAAAGATGGATGGAGTGCAGTTCCAGTGGAGGTAGCATTAAGATGTCTAGAAACCAAACTTCGTGAATTTCATTTCTCTGGCATCGAAATTGATGAGCTAATTTCACTCATTCAACTCTGTTTGAAGCAAACACATTTTGTTTTCCAAAATAAGTATTACAAGCAAACTGAGAGATTATCCATGGGAAGCCCTCTGAGTCCCATCCTGGCTGATATCTACATGCATTATAATGAATCAAAATTATATGAAACTTCAAACTTCTCGGTATGGTTCCGCTATGTAGACAATACTTTTACCCTGTTTGAAGGTAATAAAGATGATGTAAATAAAGTTCTTTCAACAATGAATTCTATTGATTCTGCTATTTAGTTCACTTTTGAACTTGAGACATGCAATTCTCCGTTCCTCAACATTCTGGTGACACATAATTTCAGTACAGTACAAAATCTTTAATTCGGACGTCCATAATCCGGACCTCAAAGCTGCAAACTTTCTGCACATGTGTAGCATTTACGCATGCACATATGTGTTTATGCATGGGCATAATACGTTTACGCATGCGCGTTTAATGTATAACAGACAGTATAAGCTAGGCTAAAATTATCTATTTCAGTTAATGTTGCAGATTGCGTTGTTCCTTAATCTTCGAATTGGATCCGGCTTATTATTTCTTGCAGACTGTTAGAGCAATTTTATAAAAGTAAGCTTGAACTTTCAATTATGTCAAAAAGAATTTCCGATTCTGGAGCTGCCAAAGGATCTACAAAGCGAAAGCATGTTTCGATGGTCATCAAACAAAAAGGGGAGTTGCTGCAAAAAATGGATAAAGGCATGAAGAAAGTGACAGAGAGGTTAGTGAAAATGAAACAATTTCGATTGACAAGTTAGTCGGTATTCTCGGCACAGCAATTACACGACTTAAACAGCGGAACTTTGTAGTAACTGAACATGAAATTATGTCCGTTTATAAAATTAAAGAGAAAGTATTAGCACATAAAACGAAGCAACTTAAACAACTTACATTGAAAGAAATGTTTAATAAAGTAAACAAATAAATATTAAGCTTTTTTTTTGTAAATTTTGATACCCTTAAGATCATAATTGCTCTTTATTTCATAAATTACGGTTTCATATTTTTAATTTTATAATTTCTGCATGCCATCTTACCAGATTTAAATTGATGATCTATAATCCGGAATCGCCGAAGTCCCAACGAGTCCGGATTAAAGACATTGTACTGTACTACGGTTTACCGTAAACCTTCATTGGTTTGCCTTCCACCGCACTTCAAATCATGTCATCCGACTAAACAAAAGTTATCTTCATTTTATTCCTATGTTTCCCGTGCAATTTAAGTTTGCTTCTCCAAACTTTCTTTGATGAGGAACTAAATTATTTAAAAGCAGTTAGCTATTGACAGGGGCTTTTCACCCAACATTATTAATCAAGCAGTTAAAAAAATTCTCATCTCAACACACCCAAAGTTTAACACTCTTGTTTTAGGAGATTATAAGAATTCTGTTGTCATTCCCTTCTTTCCATCAGTTAGCTATAAAATTGCACATATTTTATAGAAATTTAGCTTTCAGGTCGTTTATTCTCCCATCAATAAAATTCCAAGCTCCATACTCAAGGACCCCATTCCGGATATGAATTTCTGGGATATTTACAGGAATCCTTGCCAGTGTGGTTTAATTTACATTGGTCAAACTAAGAGAGCCTTAAAATTTCGCATTAAGGAACGTGAGGCATATGTTAGAAAAAAGGAAACGCAGAAGTCTTCTGTTGGCCAGCATTGTTGGTCCGAAAATCACACTTTCAATTTTTCTGCAGCCAGAATTAAATTAAAAAAACATCTTCCATTGGTGAATTAGATTTTCTAGAGGCATTTCACATTCAAAAAAATCTTTTTGTTCTAGTTAATGACCCTAATTCCAATCCACCTTTGCCTTCAGCTTTTAAGAAAAGTATGTTTTAGTTCTCGTTTCACCAACAGATGGCACCAGTAGCTTAACTTCTGTCTATTTATCGTATCTCATTAATTTGCGCTTTTGAAGCTGAGCATGATAGTTCGGTAAAACCGTCGAAACTAGTCCTGTGAAAGATATAACGCTGATTTTTGTTGTTTGACTTCTAAATTAAGCAATAGTTGACTTAAGGCAAATGAATTGGAAGGACAGATCGACATGTTTTTATTTAACAGCTTTAAAAATCCATCATTCAATCACCTAGAATTATAATATCACGAATAACAAATTTAATACAACGAACAGCAGTTTCTTTTTTCAAATCATCACTAATGTGTTTTCACATTCATCATTTTAATTATTAAAATAAGTTCTCCTTTTGGACAATGATAAAATCAGTTTATAAAAAAATTAATTTATCAGAAAGACATTTTGCAATTTAAAATTTTAGTTTTATCCAGATGAATAATGTACTGAGTTTTGTTTAAGAAAATAAATGGCCCTCCTTAATTATACATTTTTATAATAACTGAAACTGAATAAATATAAAAAATAAGCATGCATAATTGTATCTTTTAATTTTTCAATATGCATTTTAGAAAACTTGTAAATATGTAAACCACAAATGCTATCAATAATCCAATTAAATTTTTACTACTTTTACTATGTCTGAACATGTAGTCTGTTATTTGAACTACATGTTCAAATAACAGACTGAAGGGCAACTTATCATTTCTTGTGATAGACATATTTCCAGAATGAAACCGTAAAAAAGTTGCAAATTAAACAGTTCAAAAGCCAAACAATAATTTATAATTTTTCTGTTTTACATTTTATTAAGAAAATTAAGCAGGAGTGAAAATTTGCATATCTGCATATTATTTTAAAACGTAATTGCTGCTAAATTTCTTCAGTTAAAAAAATATATTTCAATAATGGTTTTAGAAAATTTTTTATGATATATATAAATGGCTAATATTTTCATTAACTGTTTATTATTTTATTATTTTTTTTTTTTACATGAAGATTTATTGAATCTATACCTTTTATTTCTTCTTTTCCCTTTTCTAAGAAAAGGAAGCATTGGAGTACAGAATGAGAGACTTAGTGACTTACTTCACTTTTCTTCTTCTTAAATATTGGAGATATCAACTTTCAGAAAACTGTTCTACAGAATTTTGTACCTTGAAAACTAAATTATCTGATAATTATATTAAAGAATGTTTTACAGTTTATAATTAGATTTTTAAGTTGATTGTATTTCATAATGAGTGTGATACCAGTATACTGTTATGATTAATAGAGATTGGCTTAATAATGTGTTATAAAATATTTGAATTAGCAAATAAAAGATATTTTAATTCGTCAAAAGATTTTAGTTATAACTTTACTTATGTTTTTACACAGAAGCAAAAGTAATTTAAAAATTATTTCGGTAAAATTTGCTGTTGAAAGTTTTTATTACAACTAAATAAAGCTGGCAATTATTTTGACTGTTGGGCTGCATGCACTTTCGTAGAACTGGCTACCAGTATACACTAATTGGAAATATAAGCTTTTCCCTCTTACCAGCAGAAATTTAATAATTCAGCTTGCACAAGAAAATAAATCATTGCATAGAACTTTTTACTGTATAAACAGAATACACATTTATTTTTAATACATTTACATTATACCAAAAATTATAATCTCTAGGTAAAAAGGTTTGCCCTTAGCTGACTGTGTGTGTCTATAATAGAGAATTGTTTCTTGAATTAGAATTTATGATATATTTCTCATAAAGTACTTTGAAGTAATTTTTAAAAAATTTTTATTTGGCACAAGTTAAAAAAGTTGTTCCATACCATAATCTAATAATAAGATTCATAACCTTGAAGTGCTGATATAGTGGTATGTTTAAAGCAATTTTATATTATTCCAATATTGTATATTTATTTAAACACATTTAAAAATAATAAAAATATATAACTGTTAGAAACCAATATTCAGGTGACTTCTGCATCAAAGAGCAATAAGCTTTCACTACCTAAGAATTATATCACAAAGCATAACATGTTGAATGCATTTTACTTGGACTGTAAAATGTAAAAGAGTAAGAGTAGCCAGTGCAGTAATTATAAAATCTTAACTATATATTCTGTTCCTTGAATATTTATGTGCGAATTTTATTATTCAGCCAACATGTAATCATTTTGCAATTTTTTTAAAGATGCCTTTAAAAATTACATAAAATAGCTTACGTTCCACACTATTGATGCAAATATAATCTGCCTGCATACAATTTCATTACCACTTTGCAAGTAGCTGTCAAAGTGCTATTCCCAACAACAACAAAAAAGGCGTTTTCCAGGTTTTATATTATGCTTCAAAGAGGCATTTATTGCCTCTTTTGTGTTTTAACGTTTTGTGTGTTACCTTTATTTATTAAATATCATGTTCTTCACACTTAAACCATAAAATTCAATTCACTAGCAGTATCACAAAATATTTAAAAACAGCATACCTTCAGAATTTCCGATACAGTTTTGTATGCTGGACATAAAAATGCCCCCCCTACAGCATAGCCATTGCTCACTTTGAAATTGTTGAGTTTATTAATCAAAACTTCTTTAAAGTTTTACAAAATCTGAAATAAATAATAAAAAAAATTCCAAATTCAGGCTTCTAGATGCCCATATTTGAGTTGAGGACTATGTTACTCAAAATTTTTTGTCTCTATGCACCATAGTTATTCACAGTGCCAGAAACATGCACACATTTATGCAGATTTTTCATTATTTAATTTCTTTAAATATAATGCAGGGAGATAATATTTGGTGGCAACAATTTGAAAAGTGAAACAGACATTTAACATTTACGACGCAAAATGCCAAATCGAAATTAATAACCCTTCCGGGCTAACGCCCTTTGGTCTAAAAATTCAATTAATTCAGCACCTCTCAAAAATGTTGTAATGTATTCCTTATACTTTTTTTTATTTATTCACATAAACGGAGTACAACCTATGGAAAAAACTTCCTAATAATCAATTGCAAATGCGTAAAAATAGAATGAGAATTGAAGAAATTAAAAAAAAAAAAAAAAAAAAAAAAAAAAAAAACAAAGATTTCAGATTTTTAATTACGTCTAAAGGGGCGTTTTTTTAACATTTTATGTGTTACCTTTACTTATTAGATATCATGTTCTTCGCATTTAAATCATAAAATTCAGTTCAAGAGCAACATCGCAAAATAATTTTAAAATGAGCATGTCTTTGGAATTTCCGATGCACAGTTTCGCATGCGTGCTGAAGATAAAAATGTTTTCTCTGTACAATGTTGCCACTGCTCACTTTGATATCCTTGAGAGTTTGTTAATCACAATTCGTTAAAATTTTACGAAGTCAATAATAAAACAAATTCCAAATTTCAAAGTTGGGCTTCCAGATGCCTATATTTGCAGAAGGATTACGTTACTCAAAATTGGATGGCTCTAGGTACCGTTGTTTTATCAAAATGCAAGAAACATACATACATTTATGCAGATTCTTCATTACTTAGTTTAAATACAATATAGGGCAATAATATTTGGTGGCAACAATTTGAAAAGTGATATGCCATTTTATAGTGGACGACACAAAATTAATAGCACTTCTGGGCAAACTGTTCCTTTGGGCTAAAAAGTTTTAACAATGGTTAGTTATTATATATAATTAAAAAATGTATATTATAAACTTCAATAAATGTAAAACTTTTTAATAAAATGTCACAAATAAAAGTGGAAGAAACTTCATTTGATTTTTTATTAAATTTCCATTTGAATTCTTGAAATATTACTTTCTCAAAGCAAAATTTTAGTGTTAATTCACATATTTTAAAAAGTTATTCTATTACTGATCATAAGAGTAATACTGTCTAAGTTACAGAAGAATTTAAGTTAATTATAATGTGATTTGCAGTTTAAAAAATTGAAAACCTTTAATACCACCACTACAAAGTACTATTACCAGCACCACTCTAGAACAAAGCTCAAATCACATAAATTTACGAGTGTTAGAGAAAAAACTCAATCAGGATGTTAGGGTTTTAATTTTTTTAATTTAATAGTTAAAAAATGTTGCTTCTTTGTGTACCATCGGTTGAGACCCCCTGGATTAGATGATACTTTTTAAATGAAAATTAGTCTTTCAAATTTTATAGCGGATTAGGTTTTTAAAATGTAATAACAGATTCATAGCTTAGCAGTTATAATACCAAAAGTAACACATTGCAACAGTTGATCAGAAATTAAAAATTTTTCTTCCATGAATAATTGCATATGTGAAAAATTCATACAAACAAATGATTTTTGTTTAAAAAATAGTGAAGTGACTATTTTAGGAAGGAAACTGCAGAAATGAAATACGGATAAACTAATTGCAAAGCATTTAATTTAAGCAAGACGATCAGATCTTAATATTTTTGTAGTTGTAATTTTTTAAATGTACATGACAAAACAAAAATTAGCATTTTTAGTTCCATATCAAGAAGCATTCTTTTATGAACTACTAAACAATAATGAATATGGAAATTACCATATACATTTTTTCTATAAATATCTTTTATTGTTTAATGGCTAAATCACTTGCATTAGTAAAAGTAATCCAGTTTTATGAATCCTGTCTTAAATCCAAAGTTAAATATTTTTTCTATTAGGACTTATCACCATGCTTTGTTTTTCAGTGAGCTTGCCATTTTCCCAATTTTGCAGGATGAAAGTACACTGTGCGCATGTTATATTTATAACCTGTGTATTATCATATTCTCTTCCTTTGCCCAAAGCACAATTTGGTATTTCACAGATCTTTTTGGAAGCATAATAATGGTCAAAATTTTTTCCCAATTAAATCAGTATTAACTGCTTCACTGCTTTACATCATTTCACTTTATGAAAGACTTGATAGGAATATTTTTATAATATGGTGAAAACTGTATGTGAAACCATTTAGTTGCGAGACCATATTGTTAATTTAAAAAAATTCATATCGAATTATCTATTTGATACCAATCACAAATACTAGTGGGAAATTTTAATTATGGCTGGAAATAAACCAAGATCAAGAAACACTATTTTTGCGTGCCCAATCTCAGACTGTACAATAATAATAACAAATCAATCATCTCCATACATCAATTTTATTCTTTTAACCAAGCTCTTTAATATCCTTTTTTGTTATACATATAATGTATTTATCATTTCCAAAGCCAATAACTCAAAACACGAAATAGTTTGTTTTTTGATGAAAAGTGTGTAAATGAATAGATGGTTTATAAAAAGGCATTGCAGATGTATCACATGTAGAGTATATAATTTTCATTATATATGCACTGCATTTAATTTGATACACATGAATATTTCGATATTTCCATGTTACTACTGCTACCAGAATGTAACTATACAAATGACTAGATATTTTATTACAAATGTTGTTGTTTCTCTGCATCATCACTTGTCTTAAAACACTATAGCAATTTTTGACCATAAATTCAGCCATATTTTTAGAATGTTAATTTAGATTTAATAAATTTCTTGCTCCTCTATTCTAATAATTCATTACCATTTTTTGGCTGTTTTGAAAAGAAACTATTATTTGTATTCTCATCTTACATTGTTATTCAAAATGAATATTACCATGCTTGTAGTTTTAAATAAATACAGAGAAGATGAAGGCACAGAGAAACAAACTTCACAAATATTCACAAGTATTCAACTGAAATTCATATTCTAGCACTTTTCCTTTAAAAATGCAGGGAGGAGACTTTGCATTCATACAGAACACATATCTCCAAGATATCAGAAAGTGCATGGTCTAAGACACAAAATTTTCATACAGCATTGCAATGACAAAAGACAGCTTAGGAAAAGCAAATACCATTTATCTGAAAATGTAATTTGACTTATAAAATAGGCATTTACAGTGATTAATTAAATTGGTGGGTTCTTCCATAAATGTTTATGAAAAAATGAAAAAATATCCTTTGCTATAAAAGAAAATTTAATTCACATCTAAAAATAATCTATTTAAATATGAATTTAACATAACAGTAACACTTCTAAAACAAAAACACTACAGATTTACATAAATTATTTTATAATCAGGACAGTTGTTTAAATCATGCTAAATACTACCAAAAAGCAGTTCCTAACATGAGACTGTTTTGAACATTTTCTCTTAAATGAAACCATAAACTTTATTTTTCAGTTTAAGTTTGCGAACAGATGATATAACTGCAAAGCACAAAATAAATATTTTTCCATTAATGAGTAATTCCATGAGTAGAAACATATTTCAGATAATTAGGAATTACAATTTTTTAATGTTTTGTTTTTCACAGAAAAACATACAAATCTAAATATTTACAGCTTTATCTTAGAAATACTTATTCTACAAGAAATACAGGAAAATACATAAGAGACCAAAAATACACAACTTACAGTTAGGTTCAAGTTACTGCAAATGTATACATGCACACAAAAAGGATTAGATGATGAAGATTGACCTCATTTTTGTTTTTAACTTGCTCTGTTTTCAAAAATGCATGCTATTGCTTTGGAAAAATACACAAACCAGATCACACAAAAGAAATATGTCTTTTGATCCATCAAACTGTTAATTGGATGCAGTACAGTAACAGAAAAGAATATATTAAATGGAACAATCAGCAGCAACCTCCACCTTGGTTGGCACCTTGTCCACTCATAGGCATATTAGGATTAGTTGGTGAATGCTGAGGTCCAATTTTAATACCATTCGCCTTTTTAGAAAATAGAAAATTTCTTATTAATTTTCAAAATACTTTTTATGAAAGAAAAATCCAGCAAAATATTATATGCAATGTTAATATGAAACAAATAACTTTTAATATTTTAATTAATTTATCACTAAAATTATTTCTGTATGTAGCACAAAAACTAAGGTTTATAAAAAATTCATTTGATGCCATTGCTTTCACAATAATTCAAGATACTTACATACGAGGGCTGTAAATTAAGTAATGGCAACATAGGTATAAATCAATTTTTAATGAACTTACAAGTATAATTGCATTACATTCCTTCTATGTAATTACCAGCAAAGCTTATAACCTTTTGCCAAACGTCAGGAAGCCATTACAGACCAGTGGCAAGGTGTTGATTGTTGATGTGAGCGACCGAGCGCCCTCCTGTGTGGAGTAGAGATGAAACATCATGAAATTGGTGACCTCGGAGGGGTTCCTTCAACTCTGGAAACAGTTCGAAGACACAAGGACTCATGTTGGGTGAGTAGGGAGGGTGTTCCAGGATTTCTCACTGCCACAGTCGCAAAAGGAGAGTGACATTGTTTGTGACATGGCAACGAGCATTGTCATGTAATACGATAAGGAGATTGTTGTGCAATAAACATGGATGTTTGCCCCGCATAGTTGGACGGAGATAGTGCTGTAGAAATCGACAACAGTGAATGCGGAGGGAAAATTGCCAAGGGATTTGGCGACGGAACCTGGTGGCCAGAATTTCCCTCTCCGCGATGTGTACAGGAAATTGACAAACATGTGTTAAGAAGAAACGTTCTTTGACAAAAAGAAAGCTACGAAAATCCGTTTTTTAAATTATTACGAAAAATCCAAGAAGAAACATTTTATCAAAGGACGTTTCTTCTTGGATTTTTCGCAATAATTTTAAAAACGGATTTTCGTAGTTTTTTCCCCCCCCCTGAAAATAACTAATCCATGAATTAATTTACTTGTGCCAAAAAATATTTTCTTTTCCTTTAGAGTTTAACCACTTGCGCTAAGACTACACTTCGCAGTTTCGGTGCTGCGCGCTACAATATAACAAGCGGTAAAGTGTCTTATTTATGCCGCTCCGCATCTGCGAGTGCAATCCAGAGCTGTAACTCGAGAAATAAACAATCTCACTGTTAGGTGACGTGTGCACCACGTTATTTTCATTTTTGCAATAAATGCTTATCGACGTGGTGCTCACGTCGCTCACGGTTTGAGACAAAAGCATCTTGACGTGCGTGGCACGTCTTTTTTGCGCAAGTGGTTAAAGAAATTTTAAACGATATTCATTTTATGAACTCTTGATAACGTGACCTTCGAACTTCAACACCGGTTTCGAGCTTTAGCGACAGATAATCACGCATGCACAGTTGTTTCCCTCTATGATGGAACGGAGCCACGTCTGTTGCAGAGAGGTTTTCCTTCTTTACAATACATATTCTTTGATTCTAACCTCCATGGTACCATATACTAGGATTAAACCCATTTTGTTTTATACGAGAACAGGTACTTTCTTTAATTCATGCACTGCACATGTGATTCTCGAGAATACTGGAAACCAAAAGTTGCGGGAAACTTGCTTTGCCTTTCTAAAAGACAATCAAATTGGAGCTGCGAAAATTGGTTCTATGCCAGCTGCCCGAATGACACTCATGTGATACACAATTCCCCAAAAAAGTTATCTCTTCTGACGTCGGCGCAAAAGTCGCTTTTTTGGCGGGATTGTTGTATGAACTTCCCTGACTTTTCCAGATTTTGACAAAAATACTTAAATTCCCTAACTTTTCCCTGAATTTTTTGGTCAATTTTTGAATTCCCTGACTTCTTCTGGTTCTCCTGGTTTTCCAGTTATCGTGGCAACCCTGTAGGTATATTAAATGAATTAAAAAACGTTGCAATTAGATGTGAACAACAACTCAGTGAATAACATCAAGACGTTGCTGGCTCAACAGTTCGGTAAAGTGCCAATTCCATGTGCTAAACATGATAGTATATGTCTTTAAAAAGTATAAAAATATACAGCTAAATGGCAAAAAAATTTTAAAAATTACTTTGTCCTTCTGAAGAAAGGAAAGAAAATAATTACCTCATTGTTAATATCAAATACTCCTTCTTGAATCTTTTCATAAATTTCTTTTGCTGTGTTGATGAAAGCCTACAGAAATCAACAAAAGGAAAATCAGGCAAAGGAAACAATCAAAACTTTGAATAAAAATCAAATTTTCATTACAAATAACTAAGAACTTATCGGTAACAGGATTCTGAAATACATTTGCCTACAACTTGTTTGGGATTCTTCTCAGCTATATATTAAGTTGATCGAAATTCTACTTTTTATCTAAAAACTGAATTTTATAATTTAAACAATATACCTAAAAAGCATAAACTTAGTTTTAAAATGTAAAATAATTTTGATAAAATGTAAGCATCAAAATCACTTCAACTAAAAAAACAGATGTGATAATCACACTTTAGAACAATATTTCAAATTCATACTTGATAACCACATATGAAAATGTGTAATATTTTTGAAAAAGCAACAAATCTCTACATATTCATCCCTTAATTTGGAAAGTCTGGTTCATTAGATCTATTCAAATTTTTCTTTGAAATAAGCAAATACAGTCAAAAGTCGTTAACCCGGACTCGTCGGGACTTCGGCGATTCCGGGTTAAAGATCATCAGTTTAAATCTCGTAAGATGGCATGCAAAAATTCTAAAATTAAAAATATGAAACCTTAATTTATGAAATAAAGAACAATTACAATCTAAAGGGTATCAAAATTTACAAAAAAAAAAAAAAAAAAAAAGAGAGAGAGAGCTTAATATTTATTTGTTTACTTTATTAAACATTTCTTTCAATGTAAGTTGTTTTAAATTGCTTCGTTTTATGTGATAATACTTTCTCTTTAATTCTATAAACAAACACAATTTCTTGTTCAGTTACGAAGTTCCGCTGTTCAAGTCCCGTTAATTGTTGTGCCGAGAATACCGACTAACTTGTCAATCGAAATTTTTTCATTTTCACTAACCTCTCTGTCACATTCTTCATGTCTTTATCCATTTTTTGCAGCAATTCCACTTTTTGTTTGATGGACATCAAAACATACTTTCGTTTTGTACGATCCTTTGGGAGCTCCAGAATCGGAAATTCTATTTGACATAATCGAAAGTTCAAGCTTACTTTTATAAAATTGCTCTAACAGTCTGCAAGAAATAATAAGCGGATCCAATTCGAAGATTAAGGAACAACGCAATCATCAACATTAACTGAAATAGATAATTAGATAATTTTAGATTATACGGCACACGTAAACGCCTATGCGCATGTGTCAACGTGGCGCATGCGCAGAAAGTTTTTAGCTTTGAGGTCCGGATTATAGATCATTCGGGATTATGGGTGTCCAAATTAACGACTTTTGACTGTATTCAATTACAGCCCCTGTCCTTATCACAGTATTTAATTTTTAAACTATGAAGTAATATTATGAAACACTTATTAAAATAGGTGATACAGTCAAAAGTCTTTAATCCAGACGTCCATAATCCGGATCTCAAAGCTACAAACTTTCTGCGCATGCGTAAATGCATAATGCCTTTACGCATGCGGATATGTGTTTACGTATGCACATAATATGTTTACGCATGCGCATTTAACGTATAACGGATGGTATAAGCTAAGCTAAAATTATCTAATTATCTATTTCAGTTAATATTGCAGATTGCGTTGTTCCTTAATCTTCAAATTGGATCTGGCTTATTATTTTTTGCAGACTGTTAGAGCAATTTATAAAAGTAAGCTTGAACTTTCAATTATGTCAAAAAGAATTTCCGATTCTGGAGCTGCCAAAGGATCTACAAAGAGAAAGCATGTTTCGATGTCCATCAAGCAAAAAGTGGAATTGCTCCAAAGGCAGCATATCCTTTGTTTCTCTAACCATTCTGAAATCTGTTTATCAATTTCATGCTGCTCTGGGAGGGGGGGGGACGTCACGGCGCACAATGAACTGGAAGTTGATCTGTTAGCACTATCCTCATCTTCAGGGCAGATATTTTTTATTTTATTCGGCTTATAATTCCTTACTAAATGTAGTATTTCATCTCAATGTACTCCATCTTTGATATGATTTAAATCAAATTCCTCTTTATTATAAATATCACGAATACACATCAAATAGTTTTTCGTTCCAATTTTCTAATTTCGACTATGCGTAATGTATGCTTTACGCTTGCACGCGTTGAAAGAAATGTTTAATAAAGTAAACAAATAAATATTAAGCGTTTTTTTTTTGTAAATTTTGACACTCTTTAGATCATAATTGCTCTTTATTTCATAAATTATGGTTTCATATTTTTAATTTTATAATTTCTACATGCCATCTTACCAGATTTAAATTGATGATCGATAATCCGGAATCACCGAAGTCCCGACGAGTCCGGATTAAAGACTTTTGACTGTATATGTACATTCTTTTATTAACTTTTTGGGCCATATGAATGAAAAATAATGGAAGTCATTTAAAGGTTAACATACTAGGTAAAAAAAGAAATTAGACCACTGCGAGCAAACAACAATAATCTGATATGAAGTAAATGAACAGAAACCATGAATTTAAAACAAAGATTAATAATTAAGCATGCAAATGTTTGTCCTTCATTTACTTTCTAAAATCTGGTGAATGGAGACAAAGTAGCTCTTTAACCATGTTAATATGATATGAGTATTATGTACCTTAGCATTATCTGCATGAAACAGAATTTGTTTTTTGATAAATTGTTTTAAATACTATAAGTAAACCTGCTTTCTTTCTCCCCCCCCAAAAAAAGTGTATTTTTTACACCAATATACAAATATTAAATATATTTTAAGAAAAACCTGATATTATGATTTTGGTGTCCTTGTTTTTTTATGATTTTGGTGCAATAAATAATTCTATATATCATGCATAAAAATTATAACTTTGTTTTTTAACAACGTAAAAAAACAGTATAAATAGTAATCACAAATGTTATAAAAATTAAAATTTTATGCTAAATGCAGATAACATTATGGCAATTCTATCATTCTACATATTTTATAGGGTTGTTACATTTAATCTATAGTTTATATATTACAATTTCTCCTGCGCAGACCTCATGTACAGATGTTACTGAAATTAACTTTGTGCTATTACATTTTTAGCTGCTGCTTTTTTATTTTCAGCACAAAATTATTACTTTCTTTCTTAACACTTAACGTAGTCATACTATATATTCTTATTGTCATTTTATCCATACATTCTTTTGTCCCTAGTTCTTTTATTTCGAAGAAACAGAATTATTTCATACTTATATATTATTTTTAATATCCTCCTGATACACAATTTCTGCGATTTCACTATCGGATTCCAATAATTCTGCCTTTTTGCAAATTAAGGTTAGACATTCTAATAAATGAAGTAAGGACAAATTTTCTATCTTCACCGAAAACAAACATAATTTATGCTCTTCATCTATACTTTTCTTTTTCAGTGAATATTTATAATATTCTATCAACCATTTAACATACAGAATACTTCATTTCGAATTGCAACAGCCACCACAAAAAGTATAAGAAATTCCTAAATACCTCTTCAACATTTGCAGCGGTTTTTGCAGAAGTTTCCATAAAAATTAAACCATGTTCACGAGCAAATGCATCACCTTCTTCTTTTTTCACTTCTCTGCGGGATTCTAAATCACTAGAAAGTATACCTCACAGTAAATTTGGATCAAAGACAAATTTTTAAAGTTAGTAAAATAACTGTATTACATTTGAAGACCAATTAAAACAATTTAAACTTTTATTATAAAAAGATGTCTGTGATGACAAAGAATGATAGAAAACACTGGTAAAACATTAAAAATACAACCATTAATGTCAGTAAAATGTACATGCTAATAATAATAAATCTTCAATGCTCATTAATTTCTTGTAACACACAATTAGAGGGTGCTCCTCCATATATAAAGATTTTTGTTATTATGATGTGATGAACTAAAAATATACATATGCTATTATTGAAAGCAAACACATTATAAGCTTTAGTGTAATTGGCAAATGTAAAACTGATGGCAGTAGGTCTCATAGTTCTGGTTGTAATAAATGGTAAAGAGAACTGTAGTTATTTTATATGAGCCCAAGAATTTTATGTTATTCTTCCTATTTAATATATAAGTACACTATGTTAAAATAAAATTTTAAAGGAAATAATTGCATTTTAAATGGAAAAAAAAAATAATGAAGGCTGAATTTCATACTCAGCCAGTCATTAGGTAGTTTAGAGCACACAAGTCAAAATCATTTGAAAAAACACTAAGAAAATTGTTGTTTCAAAGGCCATTGACCCAATATATGCCTTAAAACTAAAATAATTTTTCTACAAGTTTGTTATCTTGTAGGTTGTGGTGTAATTGTGGGTGGCTACAGAATTATTAGTTATGAGGCCTTTTTTCACTGTCATTGGCATTTGCAGGCAATCCTCATCAAACTTTCTTGACAGCAATCTTCCAGTTTCTTCTTTACTGCATCCTTTTAACAGTAATCTTATACCAGTTACAGGCTGATGCTGTTCTTAAAAAGTACAAATTAATATTAAAAAAAAAATAATAAATAAATAAATAAATGGAAATAAAATGAATGATAAGGTTGGCCTTGCTTATTGAATATAAACAAGAAATGGACTTCAAACACTACAGAATTAACAAGTGCTTTATTTTTCAGGCTGAGTTGCTATGCTTAAACCTTGTAGCAAAATGGATTCAATTTCTTGTACTGCTGTGAGATCAATGTGCATTTTCATACATAGTGATTCTCCTTCTTAGCTACAATTTCAGAAAACTGGATTTTCATAGAAACTTGCTGTTGAAATTCAGGTTATTATTAAAAGACCTCACAAGGCTTTGATATCATCATTCATTTTGCTTATACCTGTGGTTTCTTTGGAAATTTTGGAAAAGAAATGGGATGATGCTCAAGCAAAGCTATCTACAAAACTTCACAGTGATTTAAAACTGTCACTGCAGGCACTTTTATAAGAAAGATGCTATCCGTATTTGGAACAGAAAATATCTGGCCTCACCAAAAGCACAATGGACAGAAAATTAAAAGTGTTTCCCCAAAGCATCCAACTCCAAAAACCTTAATACTATCTAACTTACAGCAGTAAAATTCTAATTGCTGTACTTTTGAGTTTATGCAAATTTACATACATATATATTATAGTTTTTCAAAGTATATGCACAAAAAAAAAAAAAAAAAAAAAGACAAACATTATATATATTCATCAGAACAAAAAGCAGAAAATTATGTAAAGCGATGAAAAATTACAGAAATTTCTGTACTTGATGAAATCCAGTTTTATACAACACCTAATATCACAAATTTTTTCCAGGTAAAAGTGATGTATGTTGCATAAGTTTTGACAATTTTTTTTAAAGTTGATTTTGCATATTATGGATCTGTTTTCTTTCCCATAAGATTTTTTTTATAAGGATATGGAGCATTCATCAATTGGAACCTTCTTCATTGATAAACAACAAAAATTAAAATTTTGTATTTTTCTAACTGAAAGGAATTGCACTAAAAGTCTTAAAACTTATTTGTCTCATTTCTGAAACCAGAATCATGGGTATATGACCAGTCATTCAAGAGCTATTTAGTTGTACAATAGATTTTTAAACTGCTTAACTCCACCTTAAAATAACACAGAAACAACAAAAAAATTTGGCTTTTCTGGATAATATATTAAATGAATCATGACAGTTAATGGACTGCAAAATATACGTGTGGGTGGCCTGGTTTAATTCACTCACAAGTAGTTGTCTAGTGGTGCTTATTCTTAATGACAAATGTAATTTTGTCAAATACAATATTCATGACCTTAGCGCTGAATAAGTGATTTTTTGGTTCAATGAACCACCCATATATTATGACAATACACAGACAGCAACCACCCCCCAAAATGCTGAACAGAAATGCAACAGCCAGATGATTATAGAATGTTTTCATCATACTATATTTATTTGAATACCCCCTCTTTCCCAGCTAATTTTACCACTTGTAAACAAGAAACAAAATATGCAGTTAATTTCTGATAAAATTGTTTAAATGATAAAAGACTTACTTATACAACATACTTTCCTATTTTTGCATACATTTTACATTGTTACCATAAACCATAAATTTCTAAATCTTATGCTGGAAAGACTGGGGGGGGAATACGCAAGGGGACGAAATATGGAAATAAATATGGTATTAGAGTAAGAAAATAATTCTTCAGTATGGACTATATTCAACACACAAACAGTAAATTAATAGCTTTAAATTAATTCACCCAATCCGTATATATTTTTTAACTAAATATATAGGGAATTTTCTTTCCCTAATATAAAAAAATTTAATGAACAGTTTCTGCTTTTTTTTTTTAACAAACAAAAATTTTATACTTTCCATGTAAATTATTAAAAAAAAATTCCTTAAAAGAAACTTAAGCTTCAAGAATGTGAAATCGGCCATTGTAACATACATACACAGTTAATAGCATATTATAATGCCTTATCGGCTATTATATATACATACAGTTAATGGCATAAATACATTTTTGTTAATAATATTGAAGTTACAACTAAGAACAGTGTTATTAGACATGTACTAGCCCAACTATTATAATTTTACTCAAATTCTGACAAAAAATTATTTATACCTTTTATTTCCAATAAGCATTATCACCATATTTGAATTGGAATGTTGTCGAGCATCTTCCAGCCATGTTGTTAGATGATTAAAAGTATCTCTTCTGCAAATAAAAATTTTTCACTTAACATCATGAACTGAAACATTTACAAATAATTATTAACTGAGAAATACCACTGAACATCGATAGCTAAAACTGAGGGAAATAAAATATATTTGCAATAATCAGAAATTTAATTTTGCAAGTAATCATAATTTGCAATAATCGAAGATTCAGTTTCATATATTACAAATCGTAAAAGTGTGCTTGAAATCAAAACCTAGAAATCTAGCAAGATATGCATTTAAATATATTTAATAAAAAAAAATACATATTATTGCATACATTACATAAAAGAGAAAAATAATTTTATATGTAAGCAGCACTGAACTACACTATTAAAATCAAGACTATCTAGATTTTAATCATATAATTAATTCTATTAACAAAAAGCTGCATACAGTGGCATGAAATTTCAGTTCTGATGCAGAATTAGATACAGATGTCCATTTGGAATCTATAATGTAAGTTAACAGAATATTTTCTTTATGATAACATTTATTTTTCTTTTAACAAAAGTGTTCACCACTGACCAACACTGCCAGTTTGATACAAGTTCAAATTCTAGTAAATAGGCAGGCTGCATAAGAGCTTTCGTTTTTTCTAAAATGTATAACATGGATGAGACAGATTCCCTTGGAAAGTCATCCTCAACAGCATCCTTCCCTTTAACCTTCTTGCATGCACGCTTGGCAATTTTACATAAGCATGCATTTTTTACGACACTTGCTATTTTACAGTTTTTGGCCCAAAAAATGACAGAAATAAGTGAATAATGATAATAGATTTGTTAAGAAATAAATTATTATTACAAAATACAAATGATGTCACATTCAAATGAAAGTAAATTATTCTTAAATGTTTATCTTAGTCAGGTGAAAAGGCAATGATGGGTTTCATTTTAGTAAATTTAAAATTTATCATTTAATAGCTATATTTTAAAATCCAAGCTAGTTTTAATATCAGGGTTGCCACTCAAACAGGAGAATGAAATTCCCTGACTTTTCCAGGTGTGTTTCAAGAAAATTCCAGTCTATCCGCGTAATGTATGTTGGCTGTGCTAAGAAGTAAATTAATTATGGTATTACTTGTATTGTGTAGCAAATTCACTTAATTATTGAATAAATCCCAGAGGACATTTATTCTTAATTATTATTGGTATACTTTGTTTGATCATTTTGTTTAGTTTTCCCCTTAAGAAACTGAATAAAATTTAAGATATATACATTGGATAACAAATGTATGTTTTATTTAATTATTACTCATGATCATCACCAGTTCAACATGAGGCTAATCTGGTCCTTATAAATCACAACGCAATGCTAAATAGTTAGGTTAGATTTTAGGTAAATTTAATTTGCATGAGGTATGTTCTTAAAAGGCACCTTAACACTTGAAAACACAAATATAAATTATAATAGTTGTTTTCTCCCACTGAAGATTGAGATTAGAATCTTCCCAATCTGGAATAAAATAAGGCTTTTTTTTTTTGCAGACATTCTGCAGCTAAACGAAAGAAAGAAATCTATTTTAATAAATTGAGGTATTTTATATTTATTTCGCAGCATACATAAGGAAAAAATATGTGCATTAAATTTCGTGATGGTATGTCATCATACTGCTATAATTAATTTCAGGATTATGCCAGAGAAAATTTCCTGAAATTTGGAAATATTATTTATTAATAATAAATAAATTTAGAGGGAAGGAGCAACATTAAATTATATGAATAACATAAAAATAATTACTTAAAAATTAAATTAGAATAATCAACGATATTTTAGCGAATATAGTTATATTACATGGCTAGCCTAGATGACTGATTACTATTTTTTTATTTTACTGCAAAATGGCAAAGTATTTATTAAAAAAAAAAAAAAAAAAAAAAAGGTTTAAAAAGATTTTGCGGCCACGTTATTTTCATTTTTGCGATCAATGCTTATCGACGTGGTGTTCACGTCGCTAACGGTTTGAGACAAAAGCATCTCGACGTGCGTGGCACGTCTTTTTAGCGCAAGTCGTTAAAGTAATTTTAAACGATATTCATTTTATGAACTCTTGATAACGTGACCTTCGAACTTCGACACCGGTTTCGAGTTTTGGCAACAGATATCTCAGACATGCACAGCTGTTTCCCTCTATGATGGAACGGAGCCACGTCTGTTGCAGAGAGGTTTTCCTTCTTTACAATACATATTTTTTGATTCTAACCTCCATGGTACCGTATACTAGGATTAAACCCATTTTATTTTATACGAGAACAGGTACTTTCTTTAGTTCATGCACTGCACACGCGATTCTCGAGAATACTGGAAAGCGAAAGTTGCGGGAAAGTTGCTTTGCCTTTCTAAAAGACAATCAAATTGGAGCTGCGAAAATTGGCTCTATGCCAGCTACCCGAATGACACTCACGTGATACATAATTCGCCAAAAAAGTATCTTATCTCTTCCTTCCGTCGGCGCAAAAATCGCTTTTTTTGGCGGGATCGTTGTATGAACTCCTTCCCTGACTTTTCCAGATTTTCACAAAAAATACTTAAATTCCCTGACTTTCCCCTGAATATTTTGGTCAATTTTCGAATTCCCTGACTTTTCCCGGTTCTCCCGGTTTTCCAGGTAGCGTGGCAACCCTGTAATATTCATCAAAGGCACGTATAGACAAATAAAAAAGGAAACCTTGGTAGGGAAAAATGCAAGTTTAGCATTACTTACTTCTGCAAGGAAATTTGCTTCTTACTGGTTACAAAAACTAATTTTAAGCTAACTTTAATTTTAATACTTTTTATTTATTTCTAAAAAATAGAAATAACAGAAAACAAAATACAGTAATAATAGAAAAACAGAATTCTAAAGATATTTTTCAATGTTTAGAAAGGCTGCCTGTTGCACTGCTGCTTGCCAAGATTGCGACTCTGTCCTTTCTTTTTTTGTAGCCAGATGCCGATTTTTCTTCCCTGGATAAACCCCTAGATGCCAATCTTTCTTCCTGTTTTTGAAGTAGCATTTGAAAATTCAGACTGGTCCCATCACAATTATAAATTTTATTTCCAGATATACCCTCCTTTTCAATTAGTTCATGGAAATTATCCTTGAATATTGCAGCATTGTCCAAGTTAGCACATAGCTTTTCTGCACAAACATTTAACTTGAGCTAGCCAACATTAGTAGGAAGTAAATCCAGGCTCTCTTTCTTGAAATTCATAATAAGATTTTAAGGCTTTTTCTTGTAAAATTGGTCCTGAAATGGGTGTTCCTTGTTTCCTTTGCTGTCTAAACCACAAATAAAGTGCCTTGCTCACTTTTTTCGTGTTCACCACCTTTCATGCTTTTTCTTTCCTTGAAACTATCCGTACATGCTCTGTTTACACAAGACTCGATTTCAGACCTCTTCTTTTTTCATACTATCAAAGTAGTCCATCCAACACCTAAATTCATGGCAATTTTGTCTACTTTTTCCCCTTTGCCCAGTCTCTTTAAGGCATGTAGTTTCATTTCCATTGTTGGATTAGTTTGTTTTCTTTTCGAGTGACATTTTCACTTCACAGAATATCAAAAGTTCCTAACAATATGTTAACACTTATACGCTTGGATGTGAACTGATGAACGATACACGCAATGAACTTATGCGAGTTCAGTTTACAGTAAGAAGCAGAAACAAAACTTCAGTCAAGTTTCCTAATGCTTCGCAACAATAGAAAGGAATGTGAGATAGCGGCCAGCTGCTACCTGACTTTCTTTAAATCCTTGAAAGTTTGCTAATTATTACAACATATCTTCAAATTTGTTAGGCAGTTCCAAGAATTAAGGTATAATGCGAAAACGGTAGACTGCAAAAAAAAAAAAAAAAAAAAAAAAAAAAAAAAAAAAAGAGAACACTCAAATCACTGAACAGAACAGGAGAGATACAGGCATAAATAATAATTATATGTACTGTATATAATATTTGCTCTGTTTGGCCTAGATATACCTAAAAAAAATTCCTAAAACGTTGTTGTGTTATACGGAATGTCAAGATATCAGAAATTGAGTTTGCAGGATTCTACTGTATTCAGAAGACTGAAAAAGATAGCACAAGGGCATCTCCTTGTGATTCTCGAAACCAAATCGGTTGCACACAATTTATTGGTGGTTTCCGCCTTTTGTAGCATTATAATCCATGATTATTTCAGGTTTATTTGAGGTTATATCAATGCTGGCATCATCATGCATAATAGAAAGAAGAATTACAGCTTTGATTCAATGAGAAACATGAGAAACAAGGACTTGACCCGGCTGGAAACCAAATACTTGCTGTTCGCACCATTCATCTCTTAGTTTGCAAAAATTCCTGTGGCATTTCCCCCTCTTTTTTTTTTTTTTTTTTCTTCCCTAATGCTCCAACAAGGGGCAGGTTCTTTTCCAGTAAATAATCTGCAAGTGGGATGTTTGTGTAGTAATTATCTGTTGTAATATTTCTGCATGAGTTTTCAAGTGGAGAGACTAATCTTTTCACTAGGTTGCGCAACAAATTTTGAAGCCAGATGTATAAAATGTTTTTGAATTGCACAAAGCATAAATTTTTATTCCATACTTCGATAGTTTACTAGGTATGTACTGAATCCATTGACAGTGACCTCGAAAGGGATGCAGCATCTCATCAATAGTGACGAATTCACCCAAACTGCAACAATCATTACAATTTTTTAGAAATGATTCAAAGGTATGCTGGATAGCTGCCAGTTTGTCTGTTTTACATCTGTCCTGTCTTGCTCATTTTTCATCGAATCAAAGACAACTTCTCAAAAATAAAAATCTCTTGTAGCCCGTCACAGCTCTTATTATTTCAATTCCAGTGCTATCACTTGAGAATAATTCTTTTACATTTATATGGTTTTCTGTTTTTTTATTCCTATCATAGATAACGATCCAAAGCATGCCATCATTTCCACTATTGAAGTAACAGTGCAGCCTCTGTCTCTTGAGTATTTGCCTTTTAGCATACTTATATATTTATTTGTATATTCCAAAATTTCACGAAGCATATTTATATCAATTATTTTCAAAAATGATCCTATTTCAGTCTATATCCTTGGCATGGTGTTTTAGGCCAGGTTATTCATCTTTTTCGTCTTTGAGCAGTTTGCATACTTCTCTTTTCACCACTTAGAAGATTTATCCTTACCAACATACAACATATCATCATTTCTTTTTTTATATCATCATTATCATCATCAAACAAAATATATTGTTCAGATTCACTGCTATTATTTTTAGCTCTACATTTTCCTCAGTCAAATTGCTATTGCTCTCGCATCCAAAGGTTTCCTTATCTTCTTTTTCTTCATCAGATAATTCTTGAAGAATGTGAGCAAAATCAGCTGACTGCACATATTTTTTCACATGAAAAACCGATATAAAAATTTACAGTTGAATTTATGCAGATTAAAATAATAAACATCAACTAATAACAAATTATAAATTATTTAAGAAAAAAATTTTTTCCAAATTTTTAACCATGACCGTCATAACTTTTGTAAAGAAGCTGCCATGTAGAACAAAAGTCTAGTTAAAAAAAAAAAGTCATATGACTTCCTGTTGGCATATTTCATGATATGGGGAAGGGCTGAAAGGAAGAATACAAATGACCTTCAGATGTCTCAGCTGTGATACATAAAAAATGTGCATTAAAAACCAAATTTGCCATAAACTTTGAGCATGACACGCATGCTGGAAATTTAAGTTGACAGCCCTGATCTGCTATGGCATTTTCTAATAAATTAAATCCAATATTTTCAAGGAAATATTGCAATTGCATTAAAACAATATAACAAAAACGGTATTTTAAAGATGTTAACTTTTAATTCCTTTCAGAAAGTATACTAGATATTATGGAATAAAAATGTGGAATTAAAAAAGTATATATTTTAGAAGTACAATCATTACTTTTAGTGAAATAAAGCCTTTTTTTTTTAATACCACTTTTTTTATTTTGAAACGCCTGATAGAAAGAAAGATAGTCTGTAAGAAATGCCCCTCATCCCAAAACAGGGATTTGTCTGATTCTGGTCTCTTGCATGAAAAATTTTTCGATTTATCGATAAGTTCAATATTTAAAATATTTTTTCACCTATCAGTAAATTTCATTTTTCGATTCTTAAACATCCCATAATAAATATTGAAAATGTTGCTGATATGAAATTCCGGATGTGGGAAAAATCTCCGAAGAGAAATCGTAGAAGGAGGGGCCATAAACCAAGCAGGGCAAAGCAAAGAGAGATATCCTGAAAAGTCATCGTAAAGTGGTGCCATCTATCAATGCTATATTTAACTAGATCAGTCATGTAAGCAGATAATAGTATTATGTACTCAGCTTTTAAAGTCGCGATGTGCAATTTTTAATATATGTTATACAGTCAAAAGTCCATAATCCGGACCTCAAAGCTACAAACTTTCTGCGCATGCGTAAACACATCGTATATAAGCTAATCAAAAATTATCTAATTATCTATTTCAGTTAATGTTGCAGACTACGTTGTTCCTTAATCTTCTAAATGGATCCAGATTATTATTTTTTGCAGACTGTTAGAGCAATTTTATAAAAGTGAGCTTAAACTTTCGATTATGTCAAAAAGAATTTCCGATTCTGGAGCTGCCAAAGGATCTACAAAGCGAAAGCATGTTTCGATGTCCATCAAACAAAAAGTGGAATTGCTGCCAAAAAATGGATAAAGGCATATCCTTTGTTTCTCTAACCATTCCGAAATCTGTTTATCAATTTCACGCTGGGGGGGGGGGCACGGCGCACAATGAACTGGAAGTTGATCTGTCAGCACTATCCTCATCTTCAGGGCAGATGATTTTTATTTTATTCAGCTTATAAATTCCTTACTAAATGTAGTATTTCATCTCGTACTCCGTCTTTGATATGATTTAAATCAAATTCCTCGTCATTATAAATATCATGAATACACATAAAATAGTTTTCTGGTTGCAATTTTCTAATTTCGACTATGCGTAATGTATGCTTCTCGCATGCGCACGTTGAAAAAAATGTTTAATAAAGTAAACAAATAAATATGAAGCTTTTTTTTTTTTTTTTTTTTTTTTGTAAATTTTGATACCATTTAGATCATAATTCCTCTTTATTTCATAAATTACGGTTTCATATTTTTAATTTTATAATTTCTGCATGCCATCTTACCAGATTTAAACTGATAATCTATAATCCAGAAAAACCGATAATCCGGAATCGCCGAAGTCCCGACAAGTCCGGATTAAAAACTTTTGACTAATATTTTTCTTATAAAATGTAACTTTTCTCAATATCTGTTAAAAATGTATAAATTTTCATTAATTTAATTTTTTTATTTTTCTTTCATTCCTTCTCTTTCTCGTTTTTGGTTTAGCTGCATGGTAATGGGAAAATTTTTGGTGCCTATTTTTCTGAATGCATTTATAAAGTTCTAGCTTAAAAATGCAATTTTCATTGAAGAGACTGGTTATAGATTAAGTGAAACAGTCACTCTATTTATGTTAAGCCCAGCGGCTGAGCGGTAAAGTCACTGAACACTGGCAGTTCAGTCCGAATTTCCAAATCCCGTGAACGGACAGGCCGCATGGGTGTTTTCAAGGTTTTCCTCATGTGTAACATGCATACAAGCTAGTTTTCCTTAGAAAGTCCTGCACGAAGGTATCCCTCCCCTTAGGCAGATAGCTCTCTGGCTTTGCCATAATTATATTAACCAAACTTACTTCCGTTAGGTGGCTGCAGGCCACGAGGTAAGAATTCGTGTGCTGGAGCCCTATCCCACATTAATAAATATGTGATGCCTAACATGTAAATAGCATTTTAGACAAAAAAGTAGTTCCAGTGTGGCGAGGAGTAGGGCAAATCACTCTACTTCCTGTCAGAGAGAGCGTATTTCATTAGTGGGAGGAGCGAAACGACTTTATATGGGAACGAATGTAATGTGATGTGTTGAGCAAAGTAGTAAATGAAATGTGAAAATATTAGAAATCTCTGCCCACTTTACTCAGTTTTTCCTCTACCACCTGTTAATAACTGTCAGGTGCCATAACAGCAAATTATCAGGAGCTGGTAACATCGCATTTATACGCGACAATTCGATGATAAATATATGGATTGGATAGAAATCTAAAAGCATTGGGAAGAGCGAGGCTCATTGTAGGCTTAATGTCCTGTTGGCTAACCGTCAGTGTCGGCAAAGTGTCCTTGTCGGCTAAGTGTCCGTGTCAGCAAAATGTCCTGCTGGAGAAGTGTCTGCGACTGGATTATATGTAGGTATGATTTTTACTTTAAATCTCGAATAAAAAAAAAACTACACTGATATATATTTTGTAATGAAATTATTCACATTAACTATTTAAACACTAAATAATGCTAAAGCTGCTATCCTTACTTCTTATAACAACACACACATAAAGAGGGAACTTACCTTGTAATGTCATAAACCAACAGAGCACCAGCTGCACCTCTGTAATATGATCTGGTGATGGATCGGAAAGCTTCTTGTCCAGCCTAAATATATGAGATTGAAAATCTTACCAGAACTGTACAAGTAAAAATAAGCGAAGATTGAAGTATAAGTATAAGATTGAAATGACACATAATAGCGGATTTTGTATACATATTATGATAAGTTATTTCATGTTAAAACATATACATATATCATAGAAGTAAGAAAAATTTGGTCAGGAAATTAATTACTATTATTTAACAAATAAGTGGCTGAAAGTGCAAATTTTCCCTTGATGGCTTAAGACATCTAGGGCCTAATATTACAGTTTTCAGAGGTTATATTACAGTTTCTTAAGACCTAATATTACAGTTTTCAGAGGAGGATTTTAAAAAACATTAACAGATTTTTATTTAAATTTTACTAATAGTTAGTTTTATATTGATTTTTTTATGCCTCATTTCGTACTCACTCAGTCCAGAGTTTTATGCAATATATATAATACAGATTAAGGGAAGGCAATCACTTCTAAAGGTGAGCAGTTAGTTATAAATAATTAAATTATGTAGTTAATCAGTAGATTACATGGTTACAATTACAGTTTTTTATTTCTAAAAAATATTCATTAAAAAATAACTAAGAATATTTTACGACAGTTATAAGTTATGATATTAATTCTAAAATAATATTAGAAAACTAATACATTAAAAGCTATAAAACATTTATGTGTTGTTGTTGCTTATGCTCACTTGTCTGACATAGACAGCCCAAGCCCATGAAATTCCTTGTGGCAAGGAGCGCTAGATTAAAAGCCTATCATTGGCAATAGCCTTGGGCACCTAACAGGTAACAGTGCGATTTGGCTCAGTTTTGTCTCCAATTTTGATGGAGATCACCTCAGGGGGACAGGTCTGAGGGTTTCCCACCCCTCTCCCCTTCCACCAAACCACACGAGAGGACTTTCGGCTTATCGTATATTTAGAGTGCCGCCATGCTGCACCGACACCATACATTTACAAACATCTATGCCTTCTCCGGGATTCGAAACTGGGCATTTAGGCACTGCAATCAGAGAAGCTAACCACTATACCAGTGGAACTGCACAAACAATTCTAAAACTACAAAGGACCATATTTTATGCATTAAAGGAAAATTGCTATTTCTGTAATCTGAGAAATAATTTTTGTGGTTTCACTGTCAAAATTCTCTGAAAAGGTTTGCATGCTTTTCTTTAACATATATTCAAACTAGACATAGAAAACGCTTTATCAATTCCCTTTGTTTTTCAATCGGTAAGCTTTAATTATAGAAGGTGCATAATATTTCAGGAAGATGAAACTTAAAATCTAAAAAGCATGATTTTATAAGAACTTTAAATAACCACAGCTTACATAATTTTGTTAAATCTTAAATCAATTAAAATTCTGACGTCTTATGAATTTGAAAAAAAAAAAAAAAAAAAAAAAAAAAAAAGCCCAAAATTACTACCTAAACATAAATTTGTATCATTTTTAGAAAAAGCCTTAAAACTGGAGTTTTAAAAAATCGTACCAGCTGCAGAAAACAGCATGATTTCAAAAACTGAATTTCATATAAAATACAAAGCCTATAAAATTGTTCTCACTAAATTACAAATCATAAGCGTTGTGTAAATCCAGTAGTTAGAAACGGATATTTTACAAATTGTTAGAAACGGTTTGCTCTCATTTCCTACGGAACTGACAGCATTTCGTAATTCCCGCCATCAAGACCTATGTGTCTGCAACAAAGCTTCTTCTTAATTCAAGCATAGTAAAGTCTCTATTGTAAGGCTCAGATTTGGAAGAGTTGAAAGCGATGGGATTTATTTCAGAGTGCTGCTTGATAGAAAGAAATGCAGGTGAATAGTTTCTGCTGGAAGAAACGGCAGCAAATGTCTCGCCAGTAGTATTTGCAATTTCTTCTATGGAGCTAATCACTCGGCCATCTTTTTCCAAAAAGGAAAGTGTTTTCGAACTCTTTCCCAAACACGCTTACTAGGCGTAGAGGATGTTATTGACGCTACAATATGAAATCAAAGAATTCCCTTGGCTTTGCCTTCTTAGTTTTTGCTCTTTTAAATGCTATGAGGTTTCTCAGAGTAGGGTATCTACAAAAAATACCCCATGCTTTTTTCTGTTTTTTCAGTGCTTCATGACAGTCATGATTCCACCATGGTTTCGTATATTTTAGTATTTTACTTGATGTTCTAGGAATGAAAAGTATCAGCTGATTCAATAATAGTATTAGTAACAGCTTCAACAGCGTCATCGATGTGCACATCTTTTACCATTTCTTCTGCGAGTTCTGCAACAGAAAAGAGCCCAGTCTGCCCTATCGAGTATGAACCGGGGAGGGGGGGATCTCGTCATGGGATCTGCTCCTCTTCGAGCAAGAAATAAAAAAAATGATATAGTGATCACTGTTGTGAAGATCATTTCCCACACTAAAACTGCAAAATGGCAACAGAGATGGTGAACAGATGGCAAGGTCGAGAGCGTGTAATATCCTTGAAGGCTCATGGAAGTAAGTATCCTGCCCATTATTCAGGAGACAAAGGCTATGATCTTCAATCATTCGCTCAATTTGTCATCCTCGGCAATTTGTATCTTTACTACCCCAGAGCGGACTATGGCCGTTAAAATCTCCTATTATAATAAAGGCTCAGGCAGCTGCTCTATAAGACCATTTAAATCTTGCTGATCAATGTGCTCATTTGGAGGCAAATACAGAGAAACGACTGAAACAACAATATCAAAATTTGCTTGAGTAGCGACAACTTGGAGGGATGTCGTCAAAGAAAGTGCATTTGATGGATAGTCCAGTGAGGTGAGGAGACCTACACCTCCACTGGCACGCTCACCTGCAAGGTTATCCTTCCTGACGAAAGAAAACCTCCAAAGTTTTGCTTGTTGCTCTGGTTTCAGATTTGTTTCCTGTTGCTAAGCACACGGGATTACAAGCACTGATTATAGCTTTGATGTCGAGCAAATTTCGGTAGAAATTGTGACAGTTCCACGAAACGATGGTGGTCATTATGATTGATGTTTGTTCTTTCGGTTCTGAGTTTTAGTTTTGCGTGGAAGCTGCTTAGGTACTCCCTGTCCCTCCTCCACTTCCTTACTATCTGAATCCGCAGATTCAGAAATCATCCCATCAAAAGAGCTATTGCTAGGGCTTCTATTTTTATTTATTATTTTCATTTTTAGGTTTGCTCTGAATTACTGTTTCTTTTTTTTTTTTTCCCCCCACTATACGGGTTGGGTTTTCTTTTTTCCTGTTGCTTGTGGTTTGTTGAATTTTGTTTGGTGGCGTCTGTGTGCTTATTGATGTTTGGGTGGCAAATGTACGAGATGATTTAACAGCACTGCCGTATGATGTATTTGGCTGAAGCTGTGTGCTCTGGACTAATCTTCTGGCTTCAGCGTATGAGATGTTCCTAAAAACTTTTGCAGTCTGCACTTCTTTTTCTGATTTTCATTTTGGGCACAAGCGAGAAAATGCTGGGTGCTCACACTTGCAATTTATATACAAAGGCGCAGCGGTACAATTATCATAATCGTGGCCAATCTGTGAGCATCGGGCGCATGTTAGGCTGCCACGACAAGACATCTTAGAATGGCCAAAACGCTGGCATTGGAAGCATCGCATAGGGTTTAGAATATAAGGTCTTATAGGGCAATTTAAGTATCTGGCCTTAATATTCTTAGGTAGATGAGGCATAATGAAGGTCTACTCATGTCAGGATCACGTGTATCGTATCAATCAACTGGCCTTTCTTTCACATCTTGATCCACCTAGCACCACAGACATTTTGGTCAGCTAACTCAGAGATGAACTCTTCTTCTGATACACACAGAAGGTTGATCTCCGAGATCACACCTCTACAAGAATAAGTGTTTTGTACGCTGACACAGTTATAGATATTTGTCCAAGTTTGGTTTGTCGAGAAAGAGAAGCAGAGTGGGTGGCAGATGCAGTATCAATAAGTAGTCTCCCGATCGGAGATGCTTTACGTTCTTTGGCTCACCCATACATGAATGGATATATTTGCTTACTAGAAAAAGAGACATCTTTTGCAGCTCACCAAAAGGACTAGACACAACAAGGAAGTGCGAATTTTCAGTAGTTTCCTTGGCATTTGCATCTGTACGTATTTTTTTTATTTAGAGATTTATCAATAACTTCAATACTTTGGTCGTTTTCATTTGATTTGAGAAGAAACATAGAGGCCTAAATGATTCGTGTTCGACGACCCCGCCCACCACGGAGCCCAATAAGGGAACACAGAATCCCGCATTAGGGCTAGCCAGACCTATATGCAAACTGAAGCCCCACAGTTGGCTTTCCCGAAAGCAGATACTCCCGAGAGCTTATTCCCAAGCCACTGACACAAGGACTAGTGACCAGCCGATTGACACCCGTGAGGACGACTAAGGTGCCTCCCGTTTAGCTGAAGCAGAGGCCAAAGCAGTGTGTTGGGGACAGTACTTTGCCCCTCAACTACCAAGACCCTCCTTTCCAGCAACACGGGTCTCCACACATGGCAAACACGTGGGCAGTTTTCTCGCCACTTGAAAACTAGAGACAAGGGCTGTTCCAGTTTCTCGTGACGAGCCCCAAGCTCTGAAGAGGGAAACCACAAGGGAGAATGGAAGGGAAAAAGTTCCAGCCAAGAGGAGAAGAGATGGAAAAGAGGATAGATCACTGGGGCTCCAGGATCGTGACAGCCGTCTCACCAAAAAGATGATCCCCTGAAGGGCTAGGGTACCTCGAGATTGCCACAAGAGTGAGCCCCTGAGGGGTTGAAAAAGGAAGTAGACAGATTAGTTTTATAGTTAATACAAGTTTGTATAAACAATAAGTTCATTAAAATCTTTTTCAATCATTTTGAGGCATTCATTAATTAGTGGCTTGAAGACTGGTCTAAATTTAGTTCTAAAATTTGAATTTTTTTTTTAAAGTTAAGGTCTTTAATAATATTCAAATTTCCTATAATAATATGCCCATGATATTTATCAATACATGGAATAAATTCAGGTAGTCTCCAGAAACACATGGCATTAGGATTTAGGATCCAAATTGTGGTGGTTAATGAGCACAGTGCTTAGAATTTTGCTATACTGAAAGCAGAGAACTGCCTTATAATTGAGGGCTGGGAAAAGATGTTGATGAGATCTGAAAATATTGCTGATTTTAATTCTATTCTAAATTCGATGAAGAAAGTTAATAAGTTAATTTTGCAGAAAATTATATACGAGGGTTGGAACTTTAATAGTGGCAACTATTTATTTACAAGGAATACAAAAGTGATTCATATCACCATGTTTTACAGTCCTTCAATATAGTCGCCAGCATTGTGTACAACTCGTTTCCAACGATGTGGAAGTCACAGAATACCTGTAGCAGTGCCAGTTTTGTTGATAGTTTGAATGGACCGGTCTACTGCCGCAAGAATCTCAGGAACAGTTTGGAAGCGAGTGCCACAAAGTGGTTCCTTCATCTTAGGAATTAAGTCATAGTCACAAGAGCTTAGATCTGGGGAGTATAGTGATGAGTCGGTACTACCGAACTGGGTATTTTGTAATGGGTACTTAGTTGTAATGGGTACTGAAAATCGGTACATAGTACCCGTTACTTCAGTACCGAAATCGTACTTTCGGTATTCGTTTAACTTCTGTACCAAACGGGTACTTCTCGGCATTCGTTACTCTGCACCGAAACGGGTACTTTTCGGTATTCGTTACTTCTGTACCGAAACGGGTGCTTTCGGTATATTCACTACTTTGTACGAAAATATGCGTCTCTTCCGGTATTTCGGTATTCGTTACTGGAGGATCGATGAGGGTTCAGCTCACTTCGGTTTGTGCGAGGAAGTAGATATGGTTGTATTTGCGAAATAGTGATATGCGCTTCTTTTATCCCTGAATGGCCTGCTCCTCAGACACTTCTGTAGTTGACATGTTTTCTGATTCAAAATCTATCCGTACAGATAAAATCAAACATGTGGTGACGTGGCAGAGTTCCTTCAGGCGCAAAATCGTTACTGCGTATTTCGGTCTCCAAAATCGTTCTAGGTACGTTGGTATCCAAATCGTTACGGGTACCCGGTACGCAACCCCGGTATTCGTACTTCGGTCTTTTCAAGTACGTTATTGAGTAACGAGTATTTGTACCGGGTTTGTCTGTACCTTACTCTCGTACAGGTACAAGAAGTACCGTTGCCCATCAGGGAGTATGGTGGATGGTAAGCACTTCCCAGCCCCATCGCTTGAACAAATCAGTCACAGCTTGCGCTGCATGCGGCCGAGCATTGTCATGCAAATGAGAGGAGCATTCTGCAGAAAGTGTCGCCGTTTTTTTTCTCAAAGCTGGTCGGAGATTGTGCTCCAAAAATGAGCAGTAATACTGCGCAGTGACGGTCTGCTGTGGGGGAACGGTATGCGTTAGGATGACACCATCACAGTTGTACACGAGAATCACCATAACTTTCACATTGCTGGGGTTCTGACGAAATTTCGAACGTCGTGGTGACCTGTGATGATGCCATTCGTTTGATTGGCGTTTCAGTTCTGGCTGGTACGATCGGGCCCAAGTCTCATCCAGCGTAATGATATGGCGTAAAAAAGCATCTCCTTCGCGCTCATAGCGCTCCAGGTGGGTTCTGGCAGCATCGTATCGTAGCCATTTCTGCATTTCCGTCAATTGATGTGGAACCCATCGTGAAGCAATTTTTCTCATGGACAGGCGTTCCTTCAGAATGTGCAGCACAGTCGTATGCGCTAATCCTGTTTGTCCGGCCAGCTGACGAATCGTTTGGCGGCGATCACTGTCCATTAATGCGGCAACAGCTTGCACGTCTGCATCGCTGACACTCGGACAACCTGGCCGCAGCATGTCTGCCACATTTTGGCGTCTTTCATTGAATGCTTTCACCCATCTTGCTATGGTTCTGTACGGCAAAGCAGATTCCCCGCAAACCTCTTGAAGCCCTTGATGACACTGTCGTGCCGTACGACCTCTGGCACATTCAATTTTTATACAACATCGTTGTTCTTGTTTTGAAAACATCCTGACAACACTTACTTTAGACCGCGAGCTAATACAAGGATCCGTTCTTCGCGTCACTCCGCATGCTCGTGATGTAGGCAGGATGAGTCTTTTTGCTGAGAGGTAAGGTAGGTATGTAGTCACGTGTGGTACACGCGATATTCTTTGGTTTTGTTGCGTAGCGTTTTTTCAGCTGTGTAGCCACTATTAAAGTTCCAACCCTCGTACAAAGCACTATAAAAATAGTTTTAACATTATTTTTTTTAATTCTAGTTTCATTTATCAATTAAATTTAACTATAATTACACATGTTGCATATGCTAATAATCTTTCTTACATAGCATTCATTATTATCTGCAATAAGTTTATAAATACATTACTTATGGATAAGAAGCATATACACGTATATTATACATACATATACATATATTTCAAAAGAAGAAAGTGATACTTACAGTGTCCCATATTTGAAGCTTTATTTGTTTGCCATCAATTGTGATCATTCTGGCTCCAAATTCCACACCTTTAAAGGAAAATATGAAAAACAAACCTGATGATTAGTGTTTATTAAACAAATACAAATGCTGGGAAAGGAACAATACTTAGCAACAATCTGATAATAATCTTAGGCTGATAAGATTTGTTTAAATAGTTAAAGTTTAGATTAACCAACTTAAATATTAAGACATTACCAGAAGTACTGGTTTGCTGGCAAGCTAGATGCTAGTTTTCTAGCAGCTTCAAAAACAAACCATGGACGTTTATTTTGCATAAGCTGATTATTATGGCAAGTACGCACTCATTTACATTTCTTATCTTCTGCCGATGACCAAGATTTCAGTTCCTGTTTCTAGAAAACAGCGTGCTTAGAAGTGAAGAACTTATTCCTATAGTCAGGTTTCAAGGATGTCACTCTCCGAAAACTCCCATCCCAGCTCCAATAACTTTTATAGGATCCTTCCATTCACATTCTGTTTAAACTGTCTGGCAAGAATGGAACAGTATCCATGCAGCATAATTGTTTTCAGATAAGTTTTTCAATGACATGCTGTAGTTACTGATAGTACAGTATGGTAATTAAGCTAATGACAAGCAAATGGAGACAGTTTTTTTTTTTTTTTTTTTTGTTTTGTTTTGGTTGAAGCCTAAGCAATTTTCTTTTTAAAATTCAAGTTTGGATGTACTTTAATTAACATAAGGGCATCAACCTTCCCTCTGTATGATGGTGAAACTGAGAAAGGTATTAATATGGGAGGAAGAATTATAGAGGTTATTCTTTCTCATTATTATACAGAATTATAGAGGTTATACTTTTTTTCTTTTGACAAAATCTGCTCCTCAAATACAAGCAGATAGCCAACAATAATAGTGTTCTGTGCAACTAAGGTTACTGCAGGCTCATGCAGATATATATAAATCTGCAACCAAACTGCAATCAATATCAATACTGTCATAAAAGCAGAGTGCCAATAATTCGCACTGAATTCTTTCCTCACAATTTCATTAAACTTAGAATAAACATGATTCATTTTAAAAGTAATCAGCTGAATTTGAAACACTGTATGTAAATGGTTTACTCAAAGGTGCATCAGAGCTATTGCTTAAGAATTAAGAATTGCTGAATGTAAATGGATTTTTTTTTTTTTTTTTTTTTTTTTGGAGGAGGAGATATCTGATTCCTTTCCTTATTAATCTCTACAACAGACTTTTTTTTTGATCAATTCTCAAATGGCTAGAATTTTTTAGCAAATTAATAGACAGTGGAACCTTGGGATTCAGCATAGAAATAAAGAATGTAGGAATTAATATATATAGACATTCAGGAGCATATCCTGAGTTTTCATAGACGGCATGCTGCTGAAGACAAAATTTTAAAAATAAGTATTTATGAATGTAATTTAGTATTACATGTATTCAAAAGTTGCCTATAATATTTGCATATTACAAGGGGTGATCAAATGAAAAGGTACGAAACGACACGGTGGGTACAAATGTAGACTTTATTCAAAATATACACCATAGGCCTGTTATGTATTAATCGTTATATATATATATTTTTTAAGCTTAAGTTGTTTTTGCTTATTTCAGTTTTGATTGTAATTGAAGTTCTAATTTTTTTTTTGTTTGTTTGTGTGTTTGTAAGTTTAAATTGTACTTTTGTAAACTTTAAGTTTTTGGTTAGGTTCTTTTAAAAGTTCTGATTGAAGTTGTTTAATTTTAATTTGAGTTGGACTTAAGATTTTTGTTTTTGTTGCTAGTTGTTTTGACCCTTTAAGGTTGTTTAATTAACTTTAATTTTATTTTAAAACTTGCTGTTGCACTTTTGTGTGTTAATTTTTTTCCCCTTACTTGAGTAATTTAATTGGTCTCCCTTTCTTTAACGTTAAACGAATACTACTTTCTGACTGGCGGTAGGAGAAAAATGATTTGATCTATTGTATTTCTTTTGGATAATTGTGTCTAGTCTCAATTGGGTGGCTGAGGAAACATTATTACAGTGCTGACATTTTTATTATGAATTATAATGTTGTGTAATTAGTAGCTTCATATTTTTTTAATTTCCCAAAGTCATTTTGTATTAACTTAGTTCAGAGGTTTTCGCCCCTTGCCCTCTTTCCTTCAGCGGAAAATTCTTATCAGCAATTGTACTGCACCCCAAAATTCCTTTCTGCTAAGCGTTCCACCATGTGTGGGGGCGAAGTGCTTGATAGTTTTACCATGTGGTTTTCACGAAAAGAGGACCCTTGTTTTGCGGGACCAGGATAGCAGGGTGATGTTCTAGAGCATACTTATGGTGGGGGAAAATATATCGTTGAGACAGAAGATCTGCATTATTCGACTGGGACCCTGGAGCGAGGCTAGTTTCCTTCCCCCTGTTTCCGCCTGCAGTTGTGATGACACATTGGTGTGGGCCTTGGAAGTTGAACGATTGGAATATGGCGAGAAACGGCTCCTTTTGGTAGTCGGGAAACCCCTTCCCGTGAAGATCCAGAGTGTGGGTTGCCCTTTTTTGGCTTCCTGCTAGTCAACATCTACGCCAAGTTTTCAAAAAACGCGCCAGCTACTAAAACGGCTGCGCAGTGTTTTTCTTGAGACGGCTTCGGACAGGGAGACGGAGATGACAGAAGAGAGACGGATAAAAAGAAATTTCACGAGAACTTAGAAACACCAGAAGGAAAAAGATGTCAACTTGGGACGAGCAGCTCGGAGGGTGAGCCTCATCTGTAGACGTAGCAACGTAAATTAACCAACACCGAAGAGAGGCTGCAACATCTATAATTCTAAAATCCTAAAATTTACGCTGTCATGATGGCCTGTGGAGAGAAGACCTGTGTCCTACTGGTGGGAAGCAGAAATAGGAGGGAAGCCTGGCCTCCGAAACCAATAGCCTATGGTTAAAGTTATCGTCAACTCTAACCTTTTTTTGTTTTTCTAATTTCAGATACTATCCCAAGTTTTTCTTGAGAAGTAAGGTTCGCTAACAAAACTCAAATATATGAAGGATCCCTAATATGTTAAAGAAGGGTATGTCATTCTTTTCTGTTGTTTTCACATTAGTTCTTTAATTGATCCAGCCACCACGTTTAATTGTAATGTTTAGTGAGGTCATGACTCTCTTTTTATGCTTTGTAATCATAATATTTTCCTACATTAAATAAACGTAAGTTGATTTTATTCTCCTGTCTGTATTTATTGTAATTATCTTTTACACTGGACCTTAACATAGAACGGGTTACAATATTTTCACAACGCAATTATGGAGTTGTTTATGTATTTTGTTTTTATGTTTCACTATGACTGCTCACAATACTTAGTATGTTGCTGTTACAATATTGATTGATATGTTCAGTTAAGTGACTTATACTCACAGTTACCTACTGCATAACCCAGAATGAACTTTTGCTCTAGTTGTTTCACAGATATGGTGTTCATTTGTAATTATTTATTAAGTATGAATTTATGTTGTTTATATAACAGGCCTGAGTACAAGCACTTCCCTTTCAGGTGTTTCTTCAGTGGACCAAACACATGGAAATCGCAGGGCGACATGACCGACAACATTCGCAATGTGACACGCTGATCACTTCTAAGTCGTTCACCTTGTCGATGAGATCGCTCGTGATGACAGTGTTTGCCTGGCCTGGTCTCGGGTCCACCCACACTCTCACTGCCTGCACGAAAACTGGCACTCCATTTTCTGACAGACCTGTCAAAGGCACATTTCTCCCCATAAAATGTCACCATCCAGCGATGAATAGCTGCCGGTTTCTCACCTTCTGCTGTCAGTAATCGGATAACACCTCGCTGCTCCTCAGTCATCGAATTTTGCAACGAGAACGCCATCCTGTCTTCATACGGACTGCCACATCATTTGGACGCCGCTTTTGATGCGAGCCTCTGCTCTTTCCTGCACATGCAGGCGCCCGCACATGCTCCGATCCCAGTCAGAGACTCTAATCGCATCCCGAGATGTCTCGCTTATGTTCTCCTATGGCGGAATATGCAAATATTTAACTGTTACGTTTTTACGTCGTTTCATACCTTTTCATTTGATCACCCCTTGTAATATACAGTTAAATTTGCACTGCATGTAAAATAACAAAATGCACATAACAAAAATTAAAAACTCCCCAGGTCTGAAATGCTGATATGAAAATTTTTTTCAAATAAATCTTACAAACAGTTTATATCCTAAAGTGAACCACAGACACAGAAAATGATGCACCCTTCTCTAATTCAGAACTAAAAAGCCTACTAAATACAACGAAATGGGGCAGGGCTCTATGTCTAGATAACCTAACAATAAATGCCATAGAAGAGTTCAGACTAGTAAATAGTGGTAACACAGTGACACGTTTCAACACACGCTCAGAACTAGAGTATTTTCCTGAAACATGGAAGGATGCACAGCTGGCTCTCTTCCACAAAGAAGGAAAGAACAAAAAACAGCCAATCATGTAGGCCTATTTGCCTAGATGATTGGCTGGCTCCTCTCAGCTAGGGAAAAGATCTTACATAAAGCCATAACCCAGACACTCATCCACTTTCTAGAGAGTAAAATACTTCTCAGCATTGCCTAATATGGGTTCACCAAAGGAAAGGGTACTGTAGATGCATTAGGCAAAGTCCAAAAAAACATAATTGATAACAGAAGCAAAGGCTTACATATGCACATAATATCTCTTAATGTAGCATCGGCTTTCAACCAACTATGAAGGCCTGCTCTCAAAGCAAGACTGAAAGACTCTAAACTGTCCGAGGAATCTTTTCAACGTCATAGCTACATGCACGAAAGGAAAATAACCTATAAAAGAGATGCACTCCACATAATAAAAGATTACAGTAAAGGTGCCCCACAAAGTTTAATACACGGCCAGTACTCTGGAATGTCATTACTGACGTTGCCCTTAAGACAGATTTCGAGGATGAAGCCGAAATCCAGTCTTATGCCAATGACTTATTAATAATAAATGGTGGTAGCCACACTATTTTAGAACGGAAGGCAGCCAAAGCTGGTAAAACTAATGACATACAGTGACAAATACAAATTAAAAAGTTTACTATAGAAAAAACACAACTTATTATGTTTCCCAAACAGTACAACATCGTAGTGAACCCTCCCTGCAACAAATAGCTGGGAGTCCCTCTCAAGAGACAAACTATGATAATGTACCTCGGCTTCATCTTGGACAAAAAGCTAATGTTAGTTCCCCACTTAGCCAGCATCCAGGAAAGAAACAACAGCATGGTCAATAAGTTAAATAGAATAGTTGACAGTAAATGGCGGCTGAAAAGTAAGTTGTTAAAAGAGCCTGCAAGCTACTGAGCACATGATACTTTATGATTGTCTGGTCTATCCAAAGCATTGCTCTACTCAACAATTTCTATGCCTGCGTTACACATAATTGCAGGTGATCTTCCTCTTAACAGCAAATACCAAACACAGAAAACATAATATCGCATCTTCCACTATGCAAAAGATGCCATGCACAATGGTTACATTCTGATTACACATCTAAGAATCCAAAGACAACACCACAAGGTACTCATACAGAAATTTATTTGGATGGGTCCAAAGCAGACAACTAAGTAGGAGCAGCTTTTGAGATCTATGAAGATAAGAAGGAAATCCACCATGAAACTTACCGCCTCAGCAATCATGCTAATAGTATTTCAGGCCAAGTTGCATGATCTCAAAATGGCAGCCCTATGGGTAGGCACTCACGATACAAATCATACAGCATTTCATAGTGATAGACAGTACAAGTGTTTTGCAAAGATTGAACAATCGAGGCCAACTTGCCCCACACATCAAAGCCCTACATGATGTCCTGGCTACTCTTCTAACAAGCCAGAAAATACAGCTAAATTGGGTAAGCAGTCACACGGGTCTGGAAGGAAATGAGAGAACCAATACCTTAGTAAAAAATGCCGTCACAAAATCAGAAATTAACAAAGAAATCACAGTTTCAGAAAAGGTCTCCAACAGACTAATCAAAGAGGTCTTTATGGCAGATGGCAGGAAAGATGGAGAAGGAGACACCTGGAGATACACGTTTAGTATCTTTCCAGACATCTCCCTCTCACTAATAAAGTACAACCACCTCTTTGCCCAAGCATGCACCAATTACGGTCACTTCCCATCTTACTAAACACATGTCTTGGATCACAACGTCAAATGCGCCTGCAGTGCCACAGGTTCCGATGCAGATGTCATGCATTGAGATCTTGTCCAGAGACAAAGAAGCTTCCGTACTAAACTCTTCCCAGCTAACATCTTGGATGTCACAACCAAACATCTTTTCAGTGACTACTACTGTGCTAAGGGTATCCTGGCTATCATGACACAAGTTAACACAGGACACTTCATCAAAGAAGTGGAAGATTCATTATAACAGGTGAAAGCCTGACCTAGGTCATGTGAGTCAAGTGCTCACATTATGTTCTTATTGTAAATACTGAAACCAAATACTAACAAAAACTTCTACTAACACCTATCTTGATGTATGTTGAAACCATAATTGGTATCTTGTAAATTCTATCAAATAAAGGACTAAAGTCCAAAAAAGAGCAAAAATGATTTAGAATGGCGGTCTAACTGCCAAAATAATTACTAGTACAATGACTGGGATGATATCCCAACCCATCGAGCCTTCCTTAAGAATAGTGGAATGGAATGAGTAATGACTATATATATAAGTTATAACTCAGACTTCTTTTCTAAAATTGAAAATGTAAGGAGGCATAGATAAAACATGCCCCAAAAGTGATGGTACACCGAAATATGTTCATAAAATTTCATAAATAAAAAAATTATCATCTACCACTTTGTTTCACTTTCGCATTTTGATTTGACGTTTAAAAAATTGTTTGGTGTTATTTTGTACTTGCCAGCTTCATCATAAATGTTTAAAAATGGCTCGTAGTCATAAGGAAACAACAAACAGCACTTGAAAACTGATAATTTTTTATCATATGGATGGAAATTCGATTCAAGATATCACTAAATTAGTAAATTTATTGCATTCTACTGCATAGTATGGGATAAAATGCTTTAAAGAAAAAATCAGATCCAAAATAAAGTAAGAAGATGCTGTCTGGCAAAGAGGAATCGATGTGACTCAAAGTGATCAGAGATTTATATTTAGAAAATCTATGAAAGTCCACGTTTGAGTGTTGTAAAGAAAAATCCAAGGGACTTGGATTAATTTGAATGACAATGATTTGCAACTCTTTAAAGTACCTTACACAGTTTCTTAACATTTACAAAATACTAGTGCATTTAAGCACATTGTGCAACCAATAAATATACTTATTAATACATGGCTTATTTAAAAATATGGTTAAAAATATAAAACTTTTATATTTCACCATTAGTGCATAATGGGCAAAACAATTTTTCAAAGATTTATTGAGTGCTTTCTTTGATTTAAAAGTGCGTCAGTAAAATGCACAAGGTATTCGAAATTATGATTTCTCAAACATATCTATTCCCTTAAAAAAATAAAAAATAATTTAAGGCAAAACATATATTTCATAAAACAGAAGATTTTAATAAATTTTACCAATAGTGAGATCATGCACAGGTTGGAACCTTTTATCAGTAAACTGCAACAACAAGCATGATTTTCCAACTCCTAAAAATAACAAACATATAACACATCACACTGAAGTTTAAAACAAAATATGTAAAATGTATAATACTGATTTTTCTTTTAATGCATCAATTAATATAGCTACATTATTTAATTTGACGAATTCAGATGTAAGAAACTATATTATATAAGCTTCTTGCTATTATGCAAAGAATATTAAGTAAATAATACAGTCAAAGGTCATTAATCCGGACTCGTCAGGACTTTGGCGATTCCGGATTATAGATCATCAGTTTAAATCTAGTAAGATGGCATGCAGAAATTATAAAATTAAAAATATGAAACCGTAATTTATGAAATAAAGAACAGTTATGATCTAAAGGGTATCAAAATTTAAAAAAAAAAAGAGCTTAATATTATTTGTTTACTTTATTAAACATTTCTTTCAAAGTAAGTTGTTTAAGTTGCTTCGTTTTATGTGATAATACTTTCTCTTTAATTCTATAAACAGACATAGTTTGTTCAGTTACAAAGTTCCACTGTTCAAGTCTTATAATTGTTGTGTCGAGAATACCGACTAATTTGTCAATCGAAATTTTTTCGCTTTCAATAACCTCTGTGTCACTTTCTTCACTATCGAAAGCGAATTATAATGACGAGGAATTTGATTTCAATCATATCAAAGACTGAGTACACCGAGATGAAATACTACACTTAGTAAGGAATTATAAGCCAAATAAAATAAACATCTGCCCTGAAGATAAGGATAGTGCTGACAGATCAAATTCATTGTGCGCCACGGCGTTCCCCCCGCTGCAAAGCATTTAATTCATCATTTTTTTAAATCGATCTATGCAAAGCTAATATTAAGTATTAATCAACAATAATTTTGCTTTTGAAATTACAAATTTGACTTTAAACATAAATTTGAATTGATGAACACTGATAACACAAAAATCTTGAAAATTATATAGACACTGAATTTTAATTTTCATTTAGTAAAATATATGATATTGTGCTGCATTAACACATTTCAATTCGATATGGTTTAACACCCAACCACATGTATATTCCAAAATTAAAATTAAAAAAATCCACACTATTCCAAAAGATTCAGATATTTACATAGGTATTTACGAATGCATATGCATTTGAAAACAAGTTGCAGATACACATAATTCACAAGATTATGCAAGTCACATTCATCTTATTATAAATGTAGCAGTTTAACATCATCAGTTCAAATGAGAGTTTTCTCTCTTACATATTCTTTATCTCACAGTCATACCTTAATCTCTATATTAATAATACATCATATACTAAAATCTGAAAGATAATCCCACATTTTACACTGCTGATGACAAATCCTAAGTAGATTAAAAAGTGCTACTTTTAATCATCATACCAAAAAAAAAAAAAAAAAAAAAACCAGGGGAAAAAGTGTAAAATTAATTTTATAGAGAAAACTGATGCATATTCTGAGACAATTGCATGGGAAAAATGCTTACAATGAAAAAAATTAAAAAGAAGACTTTTAATTACATAGCTAATTTTGCTTATGCTTAGAGCTGTTTCGTAAATTATGCTTTATAGCATTATACCTTGTTTATTTTTCAGATTCAAAATACTGTATAATAAGTTGCCTTAATGAAACTTTATAATACGACAGCAAAAAATAAAAATGCTTTATTTTAATGTTATTTTTTAAATATAATTCCAATATATTACCATTATTTTAATGAAATTTATACTGTATAATAAGTTTCCTTAATGAAACTTTATAATATGATAGCAAAAAAGATTTCAGAATTAAAAATTTTCAATAGAAACTGATCTAAAAATTGCAAAATGTTGACAAGTCGCCAAATTTAGAACCGTTCAATAAAAGAATTCACATCTCCAAAAGCAAAAATTGTTTAAGAGCTCTTTATTACAAAAAATGAATTTCGAAATGCTTATGTTTCGCTTCTTGCTTAGTAACTCAAGTATCCCATGATTTATATTAGAAATAGAAACAAATTATAACCCACATATAAAGAGGATTTATCCGAGATTCTATCTATTATGAATTCAATTGATCCAGCCATCCAATTCACTCTTGAAATTGAATCCAACAATTCCCTCCCCTTCCTCGATATTCTTATAATCTGCAATGAAACCGATTTTAGCACCACTGTGTACCATAAACCCTTTGTAGTTTGTTTACCACCCCATGCCACCCTGTTAAGCAAAAAATGGCTTCTTTTTACTATTATGTTTTCCGCGCGCTAAAAGTTTTGTTCCTCTGAATCTTTGCTTACCAATGAACTTAATTATTTGAGAGCAGTTGCGATTGACCGCGGATTTTTCTCCCGTGATTATTGATAAAGCCGTCAAAAATTTTCAGATTCCCATCAAAGAAGACATTCCACTGTTAGAAATAATATTAATGACCTTGTCGTGCTTCCATTTTATCCTTCTGTTAGCTATAAAATTGCACGGATTCTCCAGAAATTCAATTTTCAAGTCGGTTTCTCCCCTATTAATAAAATTCACCCTTCGATTCTAAAAGATTGCGTTTCTGTCTTGAATTCTTGGGGAATTTATAGTATATCATGTCAGTGTTGTTTAAGATATATTGGCCAAACAAAAAGAGCGTTGAAGTTTCGTATCAAGGAACATGAATCTTATGTCAAAAAAGGCGAAATTAACAAGTCTTCAATAGCGTATCATAGCTGGACTTTTAATCATAATTTTGATTTTGGGTCTGCAAAAATCATCCAAAAGGCTTCTTCCATAGGCGAATTGGATTTTCTTGAGGCTTTTCACATTCACAAAGATTTAGAAAGTTTAGTTAATGATTTGAAGTCCAATCCAGTCCTTCCTAATGCCTTTAAAATTCTACTATCTTAATTCAATTATTTTTGCCGATAGATGGCGTTACCTCCTCGCGCTTGGTACTACCAGAGGGTATAAAAATCCGTTCAGTGGTTGCTTTCCATTATTTGAAGTTCAGATTTTGAGCGTAAGGTGCATTTGACCCTCGCTCCCTATTTTAACTTCGCTAATATTTCTTTATGCTTGATCAGACAGCCTGGCTCAGTAAAAGTAGGCGGCCAGTGCAACTCTGATTAAAAATCTAGTTATAACCACGTGCAGGGCTGATAAGCACTACGTGTTTCTGTGACTCCTTCTCCTATTTTCTTCTTTCTATGTATTTCTTTCTCCTGATCAGGAGGGACCTTTAGCTGCCCTCGAAATCGATTGAGTGTTTCATTATACCTACGCTAAATATAAGATTGTTTTTTACGATTTTGAACCCACATATATGTCAGTGAATCGCCAAAAATATTCCTCCAAAATGCTAATTCACACTCAAAATGGCAGTCATAAAAACAGACAGAAATTTCAGATGATTAAATTTAAGGACTTTTAAGGACCAAAAATCGATTTCAAAAAATTTAAGGACTCTTAAGGACCGTACGAACCCTGATATTACTATCTAAATTGTTTGTCTACATTTTGAACTTTAAGCCTAAAATGTCTCCAAAAACCACTTTTGAACACACAATTTAAGCTAAAAATCCAAAACAAAAAATTTACATAGCAAAAATGTAAAGTTTCTAACCAAAAATATTTGACAAGAATCCATGTACACAGCGATATGTTTTCAAATAGGAAAAAAAAAAAAAAAAAAAAAAAAAAACTCTACGAATTGCATAATCTAGACTAGTGCTCCGCAACCTTTTCTCACCTGCGACGCACAAAAAATCTTTCAGAACACATATCGCCATATTTGGAATTTCGTGGCACACCAAAGAGTTCCGAGTTATCAAGGAAGTGCCGAAAAAATTCAAATGCTGACACACTTACAATCACACACACAACCACACAACAGTGAAATATATAAAAACATTTAAAATAGACATTATTAAGGAAAAAAAAATTGTCATTGTGTATTAAATACATGATAAAAAATTGCAAAAAGTCAAATACATGTATTTGATTGTGGCACACCTATATCCTACTCATGGCACACCAGTGTGCCGCAGCACACCGGTTGCGGAGCACTGATCTAGACAATGAATGAATCTACGAACTACGCACACCTTGCTTTAATAAATTAACAAAACAACAATAAATTTCAAAGAATACCATGTACACAGCATCCTGTTTAAACTTTAAAAAAATCTATGAATTGCGCAATCTAGGCATTGCACGCAAATCAACAAAATAGCTAAAAACAGTAAAATAAAATGCACTTATCATAACACATTCATTACTAAAATTTCACCAGTCACACAATGTGTATGAACAAAAGTGCCACAATTTTGCTATATCACATGCCTTTCTGTGATTTAAAATTTTGAAAGTAACGATAAAAACTTCTTCCAAAAGTTAACTTATTACACAAAAACCACGATCCAAATCTTAAACTCTGCTAACAGCCACATACTTTACCAGCAAGCATTTAACTGGAAATCCACACAAGAACTATCAGAAACGCCCTTCTTCGTCCGATTTCTTATAGCAGCTCCACATTTCGGACTCCGTTTTAAAAGTCTCACAGAAATTCCAAAAATACATTTCGATCCTCTTAAACATACCCGTGAACAAAAGACTCGTTAACAACTCCAACATCATACCTTTTAATACTAAATTTACTTTCCACACAATCTAAAATACGCGATTGAAATCTTGTCACCATGTCTATCATTGCAACATAGGCCATTTCAAAACATACACGACATGAACCAACGAGCAATTAAACCATTCCAGCAAAAGTTTTCAATGTCAAAAGGGTTACCATAAAACACCCAATTGTGCCAAAAGCTAGCACAGAACACATATCGCCATATTTGGTGATTATAGGGCACATATAAGAGTAGAGTCCTAAATTTTAATTACCTTTGTTTTCTTTATTATTTTACTCTCTTTAATACAATTTTAACAATAAGTTAATACAATTTCACCAATTTTCCATTCTTGTACACAGTGAATCGAATCTTTATCATTACCTCCTTCTTATTTATTTATTTAATTTAAACGACAATTAGATTTAT